GTACAGTGCAAGAAGATTTGATGACCCATTATACTCTCAATTGTGTTCCAGCCCAGGTCATATTCTCACCAAGGAACCTGTTCAATGCTGGCAGTGTGAATAAGAAGTGATTGAGGCCCTCAACAATATATTAGAGGCGTGTCCTCTTCTTTTCTTTTTTCTTTTCAATATTTTTTCAATATTGACTGTAACTTGTGACAGTTACATGTCATTGGATTCAAACACATGTAGGGGGACTTTCCCACTGGAGCTATGGTTCTTGTCAAATATAATTGATTGAAAATAGCCCTCTCACACCAAAACAAAAATGAGACCTCTCAAAGACATAATTGGTGTTATGTTAAATTAATTACACCTTGATCTAGATGGGCTCAGTAATGCAAGGCTTGTATACCTGCAAAGGCTTTGCACCCTTCATATTGACTTGCTTTTTTTCACGAGTTTCATTTGGATGAAAAATATAATGCAAAGACATCATCAACAAATAATTTGCTTCTTCATTGGAACTGCCAAGCAACAACAACAACCTGCACCATCACCATCCAATACTCCAGTGATCCCTACTGTTGGAGAAAAAAATGACTTCAATGGATTTACTGATAGTAAATCCTGTGCAAATAGCCCAAGGCGGAGAGCTTGAATCTCACTTGGCAGGTCAGCATAAATTTGCCAGAACAAAGACTGCTAAATTGGTGGGCAGTAATTATATAGTTACCTTTCATGAGCTTTGATCTACTCTGACTAAATTGAATTCTCATGGATTGTAACAGGAAAACCAAGCTGTATTCCCAGTATTTGCCAATATAGGATCATGCAGGGGGGGATCATCAAGCCTACCCTTGTCATCTGTGAATCACAGAATTTGCAGACTCCATGGAAAATACAGGGTGCATACAGGGTGCCCCTGAAACCCCTGGAGTAAGCACATTTGCCTGACAATCAAAAAGCAGATATGACTCTTGAAACCATGACAAATGAGGTTGTAGTTGTTTCCCAACACGTACAAGACCATCAAGCAAAACGTTGAAATGCACTCCTCAAAAAATCCCAACAATATACTAGCACAACTCATTATAGCAAGCTGTTATCAATTTTGGGACAGATTCATACTTCAAACCCTGTAAAAGTTTACATTGGCCCCAGATGCTGGAAATGTGTTCATCCCATTCTATATCCCATCATTGGCCGTCTTTCTGGACTGGCCTGTCCCAATTGTCCAAGTGACTCTGCTAGTCAAATACATTATGTTGTTCCTAATGTTCCTTATCCAGGAAATATGAACTGGAAGGTTAGTATACATGATTGATTCTCTTTGTCTCTGTCTTCCTCTCAAGTGTCACAAACCAACTCAAAAACAGACAGCAAGCCTTATGTTTGAAATCTCAATATGAAACATCTAATTAAGTATAGGTACCCAAACAACAAACTCACTTGCATAGAACTTTTCTTTGCACACTTGGGTTAGTGTTCAACAGGTGGATAAATTGATTGATGGACTATCTGGAAGGGTAGGCAGCCATCACTGAGTTTTTTCATTATACAATTTGAATTTATCTGCTGTTGAGCATTGATGTGGCAATATTTCAAGATGTTAAACAAGGCCTTCCAAAAACCTCCAAATAGTGATGTATTGTGTGTGGGACACTCACAGCTAGATATTTGTGAGATACAAAGTAGAAACCTGGAACTTGTCTGAGTTTCCCAACTTGTACTTGGCTGTAGTATTTGGGTTGCCCGGTTTCCCAGTTTCCCAACTACAGCAAAAAAGTGCAAGTTGGGAAACTCAGAGGATCTTGGGGTTTCTAATTGTATCCCATGATTGTATAGGACTTTGAGGTGTAGTGAGCAGGATAGAACTTTCAGAACAGACTACCACATTGAATGCAACACCTAAGAACTTGACCATGTCTTGAGTGAGTGATGTCATGATTTGGGCATCATGGGTGTCAAAAATCAAAATGGATGTTTTCAACAACATTGTTAGGATGTTCTGCTCCTTGTTTTTTGGTCCTGGTTCCATTTTTACTATTACCATGTCCAGTGTTCTCTCTTTCAGCCAATACACGTAAAATGAGGATGTATGATGAAACATGTCCAAAAGAAGACGGCTTCCCAAATCAACTGGTGCTCTTCAAGAGCTTCAGGATGGGGGCACAGCCTTGAAAAAAGAGTGCACACTGGCATTTTTTTGTGAAAACAGGCACATCTAGGCACCACTGGTGCATTAGGCGCGGCCCCCACAGTTCAAAACAAGAATAAAAATGGAAAAAATGGAAAAAAGTCCAAAAATTGCATTTTATCTAAACTTTGAGCCACTGCAGTTGCTGATGAGGTGGGAGATAGAATTTTTGAAGATTGAGTTTTACTTGAAGCCATAGAAGTTGAGAGACAAGCAAAATTGGAACCAAATAATTTTGAAGTTGATTCCCAAAGGGTATTGTTCACACAATTGGCATTGTGATAATTGAGTGAAAGACAAGGAGGAAACTTCATGAAATGGATTTTGAAACAACATAGACACAAGGAAAGCCCCACTTTCTCACTATGGGGCGTGGAGGCTTTTGGGCACGCCCACCTTATTTTCAAAATTTTTGGGTGCACCTGGCGTGTTCTTCTTTTGCGCCCTCATCCTGACAAGAGCTGTGTGTATAACTTTGTATGAGTTCTGCCTGTTCCACATCCGCTCAAAAACTTCCGCACTTTGCACAGGCTCCAATTCTTTGATGCAGGGCTTGTTTCACCCACCATGACCAGGTCAGTCTGTTCACGCAAGTGGCCTGAGGATCTTGTAGACCCCAGTGGTGATTATGGTTGGAGCTGGTGGTTAGATCCACAGCTTCAGAGATCCACTCTTTAAGAATCAAAAGTCAGGTGCAATAACCCAGAGTACCAGATTTTGGAGCTCTGATGTTATAATTTGAGCTTATTTTCAATTTCATTGCAAGTAGCAAGTGACATGTAAGTGTTATCAGATCTCACATAATTACTACACGGCATCAAACTTAACTAAGTCCCAACGCTGGACCTAACCACCAACTCCAGCAAGGGACTTACACCTAAAGTCAATTTTTTGGCGTGAGTTCTGTTGGGGCTTTCCACCAAAAACTAATGGCCTTATGAAACTTTTTTTTGTGATTTTAGCTTGCCTTCACATTCATTATAAATGATATGCGCCTTGAATCTGTCTACATTCTCCAACTCCAGGCTTCTTAATACTTTGAGTGGCTCCAACAATATCTAGAAAAGTTGGTATTTTGATGCCACACCAAATTTCAAATTTCAGAGACGGAGCAGTCCAAATTACTGTAAATTTTGCCTTTGGGCCCTATACAACTTTCATATTTATCTACAGAAACAATTGAGATAACAAGAAACCAAGCGTACGGGGTTGTAGAGGGAGTTCAGGCGCACAATCTTCATAATGAATGTGACACCGTGGGAATTATTGAGTTCAAAACCCGATTGAGCAGAATTGTGGTGTCCGAGTCTGCAACTTGTCTCAATCACAGATCTAGTTCACATTACGTTCAAAATACGTTCACAAGTTGCCCTCGAGCTGTAATCACGTGGGCTGACAGGCCAAGGACGGGTCAGGCTCCCTTGCCATCCTGACTCCATTGGATTTAAGGATGCCACAGTCATCAAATCTGGATTTGCCAAACATTCTTGAAGGCATGTCTATGGCAAGCGTAAATAGCGAGGACAGGGAATGTACTATGAAAGACACTTGTCGGTCTGAAAGGGGCCTTTGTATGTCTCACAACAAAGGGTTATCAGAAAAACCCGAGGGAAACTTGTGAACATATTGTGAACATACAGCCGTTCCAAGAAAGGTTGACAACTTTTCTTTGGAGAAAGTTGTCTCCGCAGCGGCTAAAACCAAAGACAAAACTTGGTTACAGGTTTATTATTTCCTGTATTCTTCCAATTAGCGGAGAGACAAAATCAAGTGAGAGACAAAACCCGGGTTTTGCACATTGGCGGGATTTCCAAAAAAATCAATCTTTGTTGGAACAGCTGTAATGTGAACTAGATCCACAATTGAGACAAGTTGCGGACTCGGACACCACAATTCTGCTCAACCGGGGTTTGAACTTAATAATTCCCGCAGTGTGAAGGCACAGCCATTCCGATATTGCTTGTCGCACCTGTTTGAAAAAGAAAAAGTTTGTGAGCTTGAAACCTAAGTTTTAACCGGCTAAAACCTGGAATTTGGCTGTATTGCCTTGAATTACAGCCAAGTTTGAAGTTTTATTGAGTAAAAACAGGTAAAAACTTAGGTTTCACTTTTTCTTTTTCAAACCGGAGCGACAAGCAATATCAGAATGGCTGCAAGTTTAAATCACAAAAAAAAGTTTTATAAGGCCACCAGTTTTTGGTGAAAAGCCCCGACAGAACTCACGCCAAAAAATCGACTTTAGGAGTAAGTCCCTCGCTGGAGTTGGTGGTTAGGTCCAGCATTGGGACTTAGTTAAGTTTGACACGGCATGCTCTCTTTCCTCAGCTCCATTTGAAACACGAGTTATCTCAGCTACACAACTTCAATCACACATGACTGTCATCAATTAGGTGGAATGTTTTGGGATTGATACTCAAACCTCAAGGGGTGCGTGATGTATGCAGGGTTCGGAAAAAATCAAGACAGAGATGCCTGACATATGCAGAATGGACGAAATGCGGCGGAACTGGTTTGCCATCATCACATGATAATTTCAAAGTCTTATCCGAGAGTGAGCGAGGAGCGCATCATTGACTTCATGCCAAAAATGGCAGAGTACCAGATCATGACTTGGGTTAATACATTCAAGCCGGTCAGAATACGCTCATACGGTGGCGTTCCGGGTAACCGGGGCGATATGGGGCACGGGCAGTGAGGTAACCTGGTGTAATTGGATACAATCTGCCTATCAGATTGGATTCTAGAGCATAAAGGTCGAGCATATTCATATTATCGAAGCCTACATCTGAGCCAGTAGTGAAGATGATATAATGGGGCCAACTCATGATGCCTTGGCAGCTCGTGTGGCTTTCAAGGTGCCTGCTTTGGCGAATTTCTGGTTCCTGTGATGATAGCAAAATTCATTAGGTTAGTCGGGCGTAGCAGCATCGCGCCTTCGAGAAAGGCTAACCTTCGGAACTTTGAGTCAACCTAACCATCACAAGGAATATTTCAAAGCCAGTCAGTCAAATCTAGTTAGCGAATACGGATCTTGTGGAGGTGGACACGGGCACACACCCCTTTGAGAGAAGGATACCGGCCAGTGGCGGGTCTCTTGATCCCATTCTTGTGAGCCTTCTTGTTCTGGTTGTGACTGGAAGATGAAGAAGCATCAGTCCCTGGTCGTCATTCCGGAGATCTTGTAGATTCTAGACAGGGAACGGCGTGCAGCCCGAAACGGGTGGTGGAGGTACAAACTTGGTGTGGTTCTTTGATTTTGCCATCGCAGATACAAGGGAGCTACTTGATCGTCAGAGGAAAGCGTGAAGGGTGAAAGATGCAGACAAGTCAGCGCTTGGACCATCATTGTCTCACATCAAGGCACATAATCAATTTGGAAGCGTGAGGTCGGTCGGAAAATCATTGATCGTGTCTTGCAGTGATGTCAAAATTTGAAGTAAATGCCATGATAAGTGCATCCGAAACAGAAATTGCGGCCAGGTCATTGATTGTGAGGTCGTAGATTGTTCGATAGACGGGCTTGCGCTTGACGAGGGGTTCATTCGAAAGGAATAGATAGACAGAGCAAAACGGTGCTTACTTTGACGATTGGGTGTTGAGTAGGGGTGTGTTTCGACGTTACGGGGCGTGGGCGGCGTGATGCACACCTGTAAGGCATAATCGGTAGGTGGTCGAGACACCGGTATCATCAGGCTTGACCTAACCTAGCTCAACCAAACCCCCAAACTTTGCCAGGACACTCGGCCCAACGGTGTGTGAGCGCTCAAACGCGCGCGGCATTTGTTGGCTGCGTTTACCGTTGCTTGAAGGAAGACAGCATCCGGGGTACCTATCTGTAAGGACAACACGAAGTGAACCAATCCTGACCAATCCTTTCATTTTCTTTTTATTGCGTCTCACTTTTTGCGCTTTCCAGTGTATCTAGGGAAGGCTGAGCACCTCAAGTCGAGCAGCTTGTTGGGTTCCTGCCTTTTCGGCTGGGAAAGTCGTATGATCCATTCACCCACCCAGCTAGCAAACTTATCAAAGTCCCTAAGTTTACTCAGCCCGGCAGTCGAGGAGAACTCCTATAGCACAGGACCGTAGGTGAAAACAACTTGCCAGAGCTGATTGCTGCCAATCATCATACCTTGCATGCCCCTCATGCCAGGAAGGCGTATTGGGCAGTGGAGGGAACCTCGCGTTCTGTATATTTTGTGGCATGTATCACTCGTAATAAATGCTGGTTGTCTCAAAAACATTTCACTGAGAAATTGAATTCCTCACCCTTTTTACTTATGTGCCAACTGTTCGAATATTATTTTATCTTGCACGCTATCGGCATCATTTATCATGCTCATTACAGCCTAAGCAAATGCTTACGAGAGTCTTTTCGAGGGCAATACTTGTAACGTCTGGACCTTCGTTAGGGCGAGATGCCCATGTTCTACTGGATCTCGATTTGATAGAATACTTTTGGGTGGATTCATCACATCATCATGGCTTTCGTGATCATGGGGAGTCCGAGCCAGACGTTGGCGCCCGTCTTCAAAGTTCTATCGAATGGGTCACCGCTTTCAAAAACCATGTCATCATCAGTAAGTCAACATTGAATTTACAAGTCTGTGGAAGAACTCTGATTTCTACTCCCTGTCGTGTCCACCCAGGTTCAACGGCGTCTTTTTATATAACAGGCCGGCTGCTTGTTCCCAGTCACACTTGTCTGAGGCGGCCTGATCCTTGATTACTTTCCAACGGATCAAAGACGGATCTCTGGCCCCAAAGGCCTCAAACAATGGAGAGAAGGCATTTTAGGTAAGATTTTGGTGAGGAAATGGCCAAAAATGTGTACCACACACTGGAGGATGGTGTACAAATCACAAGGATTTAGGAATAAGAACCTACAAATCAGAAATGAGCAGAGTCGCCCACAACTAATTCCGAAAATTTGGAAAAGATATATATGTTTGTATGTTCTTCTTCATCTTGGGGGTCTAGATCAAAGCAAGGCCCATGCAAGTCATCATCAAATTATCCTGACCGTCTCACTTAAAATCTTTGTCACTGACAGGGAGCTGGAAATTGATATCTGATATCTAAATCTACACTCTATCTGTCTCAAGATGATTGTGAGTCTGGTACAGACCAAACAGTTTCATACCAAGGGCTATATCATGTGTACCTTAACTGAGTCCCATCTGCTCTTGAGCAAGCGTTGGAAAGCAAAGGGATCAAGATGTAATGATGAATTTGGTGGTGGCAAGCTCAATCACCTTTTGGTGGTGGACTTCTACTTGTACTGAAATCTTTTTGGCCCTCATTATGAAGCTTCTTCTTCTTCAACCATGTCATAAACCAATTTTTTACCAAGCTTTGTTGCTATTGAAGATCTCTTTTTTAGATAAAGACAAATTTTTTTCCTTCAGCTCAAACAGAGCATTGTTGGAATTTCAAGTGCTGTGATACACACACAATGTAAGCTGATGGGGTCCTTTTGGCCTCAGGAAAAGAAAGTGTGGCAATAAGCTAATTGAAAACATAATCAAAGGATAAGAAATCCCATCACTGAAAGCAAAAAAGTTCTATTGCACATACTACTCCACCACAAAAACTTGATGGTACTTGACTCCACCAAATTCAACAATACATATCCCTCCCTACTTAACTACCATGTAGTGAATAGGTAGGATCTCTCTTTCTTTTAGGAGAAAACTTATATTTTTGATTTCTTTAACAATAACAATCTTGTAAGTAAAACATAACAAACATTTTTAATAAAGAGAAAAAGATGGAAGAGAAAGTTCTGTTTTGAAGAGTACTGTGTGGCAGTGTGCAGCTGAAAGAAGGGACTTACTTGCAAAGTGGAAAATAGGGCCTGATATATGGCCTGAGAATAGATCTGCTGGACTCTTTTGCCATAGACTGGTCTCATCATAAGTTAAACTTGCCTCCACATAATGGGAATCGTATGCCTTGATCCCCTCATAGCATCCTGCTCATGTGTCCCAAAACCTCAAGTGATTCTGTAGATACATAGGAAACTTGATAGTCCAATTTTCAAAAAAAAATGATATTGAGAAATCAAGAGTGAAAGGTTGTAGATGGCAAGGTGCACAGTTCTCATCATTGTTGTGGATGCAAGTTCAAGTTGTAAAAAATCTCATGAGGTGACCAGAGTTTGGCAAAAAGGCCCATATAGCTCAGGCCATATTGTCCCAACCAAAGAAAAAGTTTGTTGGTTTGCTCATCCTACACCTGTGGTCAGGGATGCAGGAATGAGTACCAAGTATGAGTATATACTCAACTGATACTCACTTTGTACGGGTTTACAGGGCCAAAAATAGGCAAAAATACTCAGTATACTCAATAATACTCACTTTACTGAGTAAACTCATACTCACTCCTGCATCCCTGCCTGTGGTTCCTCCAAATCTCTTCATTGTAATCAGGAAAGAACTACAGAAGATCAGCCTCTTTTGCAACATCTCAGCCTGCCTGGTGCAAGATTTTGACAGGTTGGTCAGCTTTCTCAAGCATCACAACATTTTTTCCAAACCTCAAACTCACATCAGTCTGCAAACAAAAGGATGAAATGAGAATGTATACACATGATTGTGTGTAGGATAAGTACTAGTAGAACCAGAAGTTTCTTTGGTCAAAAGGACTTTTATCAATATGACAAGGAGATAACGGGAATTGCAAAACTCCCTAGTCAAGCCCCCACAGGCTCACACAACAGAAGTTGCGGCACCTCTTGATCATAATTCTTGGGTTTCAAACTGGCTCAATATATTTGTGCCCCAGCACCACCCAAGCAATCAAGTGATTACATAAATCACTTGGAGAGGACTTAAAATTGTAGTATTTTTTTGGCCAACTTGAAAGCTGTCAAATCTTCCTAAACTAGCCATGCTGATGGAGCTCATCCTTTCATTGCTGCCTGTTTACATCATGGTAATCAAGAGGTTTTGTCTATAGCTAAACCACCCAACTGATTGTCCAGAGATCACAAAAGGCTCACATTTTAGATTGGTGGACACAGACACCAAAGTCATTTATCCCAGCCTGTCTTTGAGAACCTTCATGGACACCTCTCATTTTTTAAAGTGTATAGTTTCTTAATAGCATATGACACTATCTAACTTCTTCCAGTCTCCACAGGTGACCCTTGCAGAGCCTGGCCCCGCTAACCCCCATCCGCGGCGGGTCTTGATCACCAGCCTGCCCTCTGGAGCCGTCCGTATGCCATCGCCGGATAGACGCCGGGTCGGGTAGTGGATTCAACCCAGCAAGAATGTATGCAGGTTAGCTGATCGATCATGAACAAAATATTCCTCCAATCCTCAATAACTTCATCACCTTTCCACGTTCCATTGCGCGGCCGAGATGCATCTTTATAATCTCACACTCTTGCCACCGTCCGCCATCACCTGCGCTACTGTCGGTTCATTCTCAGGGACTCGCCAGCAGGACATATGTATCTGTCGAGGTGGCACCCGACTGGAACTTCTCAGGCCGGATGCCTCCACTGGAAAGATGAATTCGGTGATCTCTTCTGATGCATTCGGGACGATACGGTCGCTCACGTCTTTCAGGCTAACCGGAGGCACCAAAGATTACATTATTCTTGGATCGGATTCTGGAAGGATTGTCGTGTTGGAGTTCGATCCGGTGTTGAACGCGTTTGTAAAAGTTCATCAAGAAACATACGGAAAGTCTGGCGCACGAAGAGTCGTACCAGGACAATATTTGGCCACGGATCCAAAAGGTCGAGCTGTGATGGTTGCCGCCATGGAGAAAAGTAAATTGGTGTACATCCTGAACCGAGGTTAGCCAAAGGTCGAATGCATGGCTCCGTTTGCAAAAGAAATTCTCGATTTATACTCACCGATACTTCGATACACTTTTCACGTCCAGATTCTGCTGCAAATTTAACTATCTCATCTCCTCTGGAAGCACACAAGTCCAACGCTATCATTCATCACATTGTGGGGGTCGACGTCGGATTCGAAAACCCTCTCTTTGCTGCACTTGAGGTGGACTATGGCGAATCAGATCAGGATCACACAGGCGAAGCCTTCAATTCAGCTGAAAAGGTAAGACTCTCATCCGGCTCCGCTTGGAATCTAGTCACTGATAGGTTTCAGTCTGAACAACTAAATTTACTTGGCTATAGATGTTGACTTACTACGAACTCGATCTAGGCCTGAATCACGTGGTCCGGAAGTGGTCCGAGCCCACAGAGCCTCGGGCAAACATGTTATTGCAAGTTCCAGGTGGACAGAGCGCTACACACGCTGATAAGTTTGATGGACCCTCCGGGGTGCTGGTATGTTGCGAGGATATGATCATCTACAAGCACCAGAATGTGAAAGAGCACAGAGTGCCGATTCCCAAACGGAACACCCCTTTCAATGACGTAGAACGAGGTGTTATCATTGTGGCCGCAGTGATGCACAAAATGCGGGTCAGCTCTTCTTATACATTGGGATCACAAATAGATTTTACCTCATGATATATTCTTCGGCCTAATCTCTTTGATCCTTTTGTAGGGGGCCTTTTTCTTCCTCGTGCAAACCGAAGAAGGGGATCTATTCAAAGTCACAATTGATCATGAAGACGAAGAAGTACAAGCTTTGAAGATCAAGTATTTCGATACAGTTCCCGTTTCTTCAAGCCTCACAATCCTCAAGTCCGGGTTCTTGTTTGTTGCTGCCGAAATGGGCAACCAGTTCGTTTTCAATTGCCTTTCTAGTGGCGGATTTGCTTTGAGTGATGATTTTGTTGCATATTAATCGCATACTTACTGAGTGTCTTGCTGTCGTCATTCAAATAGCTATCTTTATCAGTTTGAAAAATTGGGCGATGACGATGACGAAACCGAGTTTTCGTCGGAGCAGTATCCCGACAATGGTTGCAGCGATGAACCACTACCCAAGGCTTTCTTCAAACCTCGCCCACTACAGAATTTGGTCTTGTCGGATGAATTGGAATCCCTGGCACCAATCATCGATGCTAAAGCTGCAAATCTTTTAAACACAGACTCTCCTCAAATCTTGACCAGCTGTGGGAGGGGCTCTCGCAGCTCTCTTCGAATATTAAGGCATGGCTTAGACGTGTCTGAGATTGTTACATCAGATCTTCCTGGACCCCCCACCAACGTATGGACTACCAAATTGAACGATGACGATCTTTTCGACCGTTATATAATTTTGGGCTTCTTGAACGCCACCCTTGTGTTGTCGATTGGTGAAACAATCGTAGAGGTCTCTGATACGGGCTTCCTGACCAACTCCCCCACGATCTCCATTCAACAATTGGACAAGAATGGCCTATTACAAATTCATCCCACGGGAATTCGTCATATCCATTTGAATGGGGGGGTCACAGAATGGAAAGTCCCCGCGGGACGTAAAATTGTTGTGTCCACTTCAAATCAAAGACAGGTCGTAGTGGGATTAAGTGGAGGCGAGCTGATCTACTTCGAATTAGATCTGGAGGGTCAATTGAATGAGTATCAAGAGCAAAAGGAGATGGGCTCTACCATCACAACACTGTCTTTATCTGAAGTGCCGAAGGGTCGACAACGAACTCCATTTTTGGCCATTGGACTCGAGAACCTGACCGTCCAGATCATTTCACTTGACCCGAATTCGGTTCTGGAAACCATCAGTTTACAAGCCTTGACCTCGGTCCCTAGTTCAATTTGTATCGCCGAGCTATTGGACTCATCGATTGACAAGAATAATGAGACACTATTTGTCAACATCGGTCTGTCAAATGGAGTGCTTTTACGAACTGTACTAGATTCCGTTAACGGTCAACTCACGGATACTCGTACTAGGTGCAGTGAACATTTCATTTGCTTACACTTAGATTCAAATTCGAGGCTTTGTTGGACTGATGGCACATCGGCTTGTACACTACTATTGTTCTCGCCTCTTAAAGGTTCCTAGGCTCTCGGCCTGTCAAGCTTTTGAGAGTCAAGGTCGATTCAAAGACCAGTGTGATTGCACTCTCTTCGCGCACGTGGCTGAACTATACGTATCAGAATATGTTACAATTCAATCCTTTGATTTACGACTCTATCGACAACGTCCACAGCTTTAGCGCTGAGCTGTGTCCAGAAGGGTTGATTGGTATTGTGGGAAGCTCTTTGCGGTATGTCACGTTATACAAATGGCCCGATCCCTCCACTGATGACATGAGCTGACATTGGCTACGTTGTGTCCCGTTAAGCATTTTCACTATCCCCAAATTGGGGATCAAAGTCAAGCAGGATTCGATGCCTCTTTCTTACACCCCCCGCAAGATGATCTTGGATCCTGTCACCAAGCACGTTATCACCATCGAATCTGAACACCGAACCATGTCGCCCAGCGTCAAGGCGGAGCGGCTTGCTGAACATGTAGGTTGAATGTTTGCACCAAATTGCTGGGGTGCTGTCAATCCACAGCCTCACTTTTTAATTTCGTTTTTCTTGCGTTGTTTGCACGACTAGAAAGCGCAAGGGTTGGAGTTTGACGAGCACATCTTCAATGACGAAGTGCTTGGACTGCCAAGGAGCGAACCTGGACAATGGGCATCTTGCATCAGGATCAGCGATCCCTTGGAGGTGAGCTTGTTTGGTGGCTTTTCGCCGACTGGCTGTCTGTTCCCTTGTGGCTGACACATTTACTTTAATTAACCCGGACACGACACATTTATATCACTGTAGAAAACTACCTTGACGAAGATAGAGTTGGAGAATAACGAAGCTGCTACTTCCGCGGCCATTGTCTCGTTCGCCAATCAGGACTTGCAAGGGCCACTCTTAGTTGTAGGGACAGCAAAAGATGCATTTGTGCAGCCGCGTACTTGTCGAAACGGATATCTCAGCGTGTTCAAGTTTACGGACAATGGGAAGGGCTTAGAATTGTTACACAAGGTCTGTCTGTCTAACAAGCTTGAATCTCTATTCACTGGTATCATCATCGGACGGCGATTGCAAACTGACTCCAGACATTAATTTTCAGACGGAGGTCGATGATATCCCTACTGCTATCATTGGCTTCCAAGGACGCCTTGCAGCTGGTATCGGTAAAGCATTGCGGATATTTGATCTGGGAAAGAAGAAGCTCCTTCGCAAAGTCGAAAACAAAACCTTTTCAGCCGCAATATCATCCCTATCAACCCAGGGTCCGCGATTGTTAGTTGGTGATGCACAAGATAGCATATCCTACGCGGTTTACAAGCCTGCAGAAAATCGTTTGCTTGTTTTTGCAGATGATATCTCTCCACGTTGGACCACGTGTGCAACAATGGTAGACTACGATACTTGGTATGTCTCGCATATTTCTTCGCAGATCGATACATTATGAGCTGATCAATTATTTCCTGAAGTGCTGGAGGAGACAGGTTTGGAAACGTGTGGGTCAACCGGATACCAAAGACTGTATCAGATGAAGTTGATGACGACCCCACTGGTACGTAGTCCCTGAAGCTCCTTATGCTTTACCCTCAGACCTGGCTGACTCAGGCTTTGCTATGTATACAGGGGCAGGTATTATGCATGAGAAGGGTTATTTGATGGGTGCTCCGCATAAAGTCAAGAATTTGGTTCATTTTCACCTCAACGATATCCCTACCTCGATGGAAAAAACTTCTCTGGTACCTGGTGGTCGTGAAGTCTTGCTCTACACCGGGCTACAGGGCACAGTCGGAATTCTTATACCGTTCTTGTCAAAAGAAGACGTAGACTTCTTCCAGACGCTCGAAATGCAGTGAGTGCATTGGGACACCTATCTGCTTTGTTCCACACATTGCACGCCTGTTGACGTCGCTTCTTGGTCTGTTTCCAGCATGCGGTCAGAACTACCCAGTCTGGTTGGTCGAGATCATCTAGCTTACCGGGGGTATTACGTAAGTTCCACAGCCAATGATAGACATTTGAGATCTGACGCTAACAACACTCGTGTCTCTCCGCTGCTGATCATCTCACGTCGTTGACGCCTACCTAGTTCCCGGTCAAAAACTGCGTAGACGGTGATATGTGTGAATCTTTTGCGCTACTACCCATGTCCAAACAACAACAGGTCGCGGCAGAGCTGGATCGTAGTGTTTCAGATGTTCTGAAGAAGATTGAGGCTGTGAGGGTTTCAAGCGGATATTGATAGAATGTAAAAATATATGAACCGGACGTGTATGTTTTGCACCTGTTTAAGGGCGCGTACCTCCTCAAAATTTAAAAACCAACGTAAGAAACTTGCGTCTTCGCTGCATGCGAGCTGTAGAGCCCGAGAACATCTCACGGGTCGCTCCGCGTATGTATCAATACCAGACCAGACATGATGGCCAGTTGTGTTGCAGCCCATGTACTTTCTTGAAGCAACACTGCATCCTCATAATAACCTGTTGTTTCTTGCACCTTCTTGGGTGTGTAATCTGCCAGACTATGGGACAGTCGAGAAAGGCACCACCTCATGTCACGCATGGGCTATGGATGAGACCATCCCTCATGAGACGGTGAGGTCGTCAAGAGATCATATAATAATGATCTCTCTCGTTGCCCCTCTGGAAGAAGGGCATACGCCTATTTTCTCTTACCCGAAGATCATCCTCGCCGTTTTCCCGTTTTTTCTTCCTCAGCTCCCTCTCGCAAAAAGTCTCCTTTTCAAATTCCTCCTCTCGTGGTACTTGCCCACCCACCCTGTGGGTTTAATAGAGCTCTTTTCCCCACTCTCTGTCCCACCTGCGCCAGTCAGACGTCTGACTGGTAGAGCTCTTCGCTTGGAGCACCCAAACGCTTTGAACCGCTCAAAGCGATTTAAGTCCTCCTCGAAGCTGCTCGAGGCGCTAGGGTTTTGACCCGCAGCCAGCAAGCCTCTAAGGCCTTCCTCGAGGCAATGCAACGTCACCAGTCACCTAGTGTAATGGAGAGTTTTATGCCTACTAGTTATTGAAACACCCTTAGTGAATTGATACACTTCCGCTAAGGACCCTTTCTCTCTAGAAAAGCTACGAGAACAAATGGATGCCGGTCTAGGTGGTATGCAGCCAAGCCTTATGCTCACAGGGCCAGCACTTGATTGGGCCCATGATCATTGCTGCTAAGCAAGCCTCTGTGGAACATCAGTATACATTTGGGAGTCATGGCTGTGAATGATTCTGCCTCACACACGCATTGCAGTTTGTAGTTTGCACACTCAGCTGGGGGTGCAAGACTTTTTTCCTTTCATCCTTCAAACTGCATCTGTCACTGTATACATGCTTACTGGTCGAATCATAGCGAGTTCAGGTTGATCTAGTGAGCAGACCAACTCACAAAGGAACTTCAATATTATTCAGTGGACTTCTATTTACAGACAAAAAGCATGACACTCAGTGAATTTTAATTTCTCTTATGCTGACATTTTGTTTGCTCGGTCTATCTATTACTCTTTGGAGCTGGAAAAATTCCAAAAGGATGAGATTTTGATTTTTATCTACATAAACAGATAGATAAGCTTCCATCATCCTTGTGACATTGAATTATGATTTGCCATCACTTGCGTATTGATCTGATTTGTTGTGACACAACCGAGTTTAGCTGGTGTTCATTTGGTAAAGTCGCCATCAATCCATACATGTTTTGTACTTTCTTATCCAGATTTGTCATGGCAATTTGTATGTTTACTAATTACAACTTGAGCTGATGAAGCATTGACTATCTTTTCGCCTTCATTTGCTTATTGTCCAAGCTGAAAACTATTGTATGTAGTATGAATGTTGCAGTCGGGTTGCTTTTGCCATCAATTGGAATATTTTACCAGGGAGCGATCTTTTGAGGGAAAAAAGATGAGACAGAAACCCTTCGTCTTCAACCGTTGCTATATCACACCCTCCCTTTTTGCTAGCATCATCATCGAATAACCGCTTCTTCTAGCTTCAAAACTAATATCACAATCCGGTCGAGTAGTTTGAGAATTGTGTTCAAGATACAAACCTGTGTCAAATAATTCTTCGGCAGTTGGAAAGAATGGTTTGAAAGTGAGCGATCTATTTCGTGATTGCATCAATTGATTCAACACGTTCTGAGCGCAGCTAGAATCAGTTGCCAACCCTTCCGGAGCAGCCACACACTCAATCTACACACGAAAACAATCGGAAAACAAGAGTCATCAACAAGGCTTTTCAGACTAAAGCCAAAAGGTACGCGTCCACTGGCCTCAAGAATTATCCAAGGTAGACTCGTGCTAGAATTGCTAGTACCCTTGGTAGTTAGCTTCCCTATTCTTATCCAATAGTCGGGTTTCATCTGGCTTGCGAAAGATGGCGAATCTTCATCGTGTTTTACGTTGTTCAAGTTGATAGGGGTCGAATACAAACCCCATATGACACCGTTGATGAGAGTTGCGTGGGACCGAGGAACCCAAAGCGCCGGGCCAGGTGGACCCTGTGCACTTATAAGAGTATTTGAAAGTAAATGTTCGAAAGACTCCGGGAAGCAGGCTAAGGATATTCGAAAATGTCTCGGGGGCTCTGGCGGTAGATCAAGGAAGCTATCGTCATCTTCAAGAAGTGCCTCGTGGGCAGGTGCAATGGAGCTGTCGATGTCTGTCGAAATGTTGACGGTGGGGTTTTGAGCAGATACCGAAGTCGTTTGTCCCAAGGGATCTTTGACGACACTCATCAGGTTAGAAGCTTCAGTGCTATGTGAGATGACAGCAGCATTGCTATCTGGAAGTTGAACATTCAGAGAGCCATCGGAAGGAATAAGCCGCTTAGCCTTGCGTTTCTTCATCTCGATTTCTCTTTCCTTCAGCCTAGTCCTCCAACTTGACCGAGTAGGTGCATTGACATCCTCTACCATTGCTACCAATCCGTCGGGGCCAGCCGAATTGCGAACTGTGTACATTATGCGTTGTCTAGAACGACTACCGCTCTCATTCACATCGTCTCCTGAGTCCTGCCGTTCATGCGAGTATGACCCGCTGGTAAAGATGCCTTGGAATGACTGTTCAACCAATGGCGGTGTGGGCTGGCGATAACTTCGGATGTTAACGGACCATCGAGTCTCGGTCAAGAAGGCCTGTCATTCCAGGCGCGCAGACTCAGCAGGTTCAATCAGTACACCAATGCGCTGCACTGGGGCCAGCAACTCTGAGAGTTATCCAGGACGCACCTGTCGATTGCGATGCAAACGCTCCGTCAAAAGCTCGAAGATATCCACCCCGATGCCATCAACCCGCGCAACTACGGTTCCTCCCATAATGTCTGATGATTGTGATGTATCGTGAGTTGTATTTCCTGATAGGATAGGATAGGATAGGATAGGACGATATGATATGATACGATATGATATGATATATGAAGTGAGAGCTGAATGAGCTGGTTTAATGACGCGAAGTTCGATATGCATGTTACACAAGCATATATATGTACAAGTGAAGCCTGGCTCCCCTGTATGTACCGCTCGTATATAGCCCCGACCCTACGCGAGTTTATATCATTGTCAGCATCTCGCCCCCTCACGGTTACTCTTTATCAGCAACTCATACTCCAACCGCTCTCCAGTCGCACCCCCGATACCAAATTCACCTTCCCAATCAACAAAATGGCTTCATACGGTTATGACGGTGGGGGGTTCCTTCAAGGTTAGTTCGGGCGCCTCGTCGTCGGCGCGTGCATCTGTTTCCTTTCCCCTTGAAGCTATGGTCCATTTGTCCGAGCAAGCGTGATTCAATATGGTCACGATATGTCGACAGGATCGCAATCAAACACTCAGTCTCCTGGGGGTGGAAAGGCCAAAGCAGAAAGTACGCTCCGCCCAGTGACGATCAAGCAGGCCATGGAGGCCCACTTCCCACACTCGGATGCATCGGCCTACATTCAGGATGTCGAAGTTGCTCACGTGCGCAGCTCGTTTCCCCTCTTACCTCCAATTCGCATTTCTAGTTTTATGAAACGGAAACTACCTTTAGGTTTCGTTTTGCGCTATTGTCCGAGAAATTGCTCGACATGATAGCAATGTCTTATTCAGGATGGAAGATGGTACCGGCACTGTCGAAGCACGGAAATGGCGGGAATCGAATGATGGAGAAACGGAGGGCTTGGACCCCGAAACAGGAGTTCAGTTGAGTTTCAATCTGATGATCATGCCCGAGCGAGCCGTGAACGTGATTCCTACAAAGTGAAATAACATTTTTTCCTTGGCGTTTTGGTACAGGGAACGTGATTGGGTGAGAGTTGTGGGAAAAATAAATAACTTCAACTCCAAGAGATATGTGAACGCGTCTCGTATCACAAAGATCACGGATTTTAACCAAATCAATTATCACTATCTAGACGCTATGCGGGTCACTTTGGAATACGATAGAGGATCCTCAGTAAGTTGCTAAATCTTAGCGACATGCCACGTATTTTTCATCATGTCTCCGGTCTACTCTGACGTGGCTCATGATGAACTCTAGGGTGGAAATTATATGGCAATTGACCACACCAATGGAGGCGCCTCCAATGTCGTCAAGCCCTCCGACCAGCACAAAAACTTGCCTCCCAAACAAGCAAAGATCATGTCCTACTTAGAAAGTCAAGAATTGCCCGAGGCTGGTATGCATCTTGAGGACATCGCTCACTCTTGTGCTATGACACTCGAAGATGTCACGTACGTATTATTTGGCCTTGTAGATCCGCAGAAACTTAGCCTGACTCATGATCAATGAACTGCTTCTGATGACTTTTCTCAGCGACGCAACCAATCAGCTCATAGCAGCCGGGGAACTGTTCACAACATCTGATGATAACTAGTTGAGTTACAACATCATCCTTTATGTTATGTTAACCGTACTGATTGTTACCGTCCACAAACCCCCACAAAACAGTGTTAGACCCACCAACTGACAAGTCAAAGTGTAAAAATATGACATAAATTCTTCATTCCTTCTGGATCATGGCATCGTTCCATAGCATCGAGATATGGCTCTCGATATAGTTCCTGCTTGATATAATCCTTGTAATATCACATTCCGCCTTGCAGTGCTGCAATCCTATATATATGAAGGCAAAACATTGAGGTGTAGCATTCCTGTGAGCAGCTGTGCCAATTGAAGCTCAATTTTTGCACTCCGAGTCTTGATGAGTGACTCATGAGGATGGCAGCTAATCAGGAGTATGGCAAGTTGAAAATAAAAGCATAAAGCTAGAAAAACAGACAATTGGAGGATAGAATTGTAGTTGTTGGTTGTGAAAAGTGCAATGGCCTTATCACAAATTTAGGACTTTGAAGCCTGTAAGTTATCTTACAAAGATCAATGGGTTCCTGCTTCTGTAAAAACTAGATTAATTATGACATCAGACTATCTTGAAATTGTCGGTTCTGATTATCGGTGAAGGTGTTAATTGCAGAGAATTTGGAAGGTGTGACTCTATATTTCCAAGAACATCTAAAAAAAAAAACCTAATCAGGTGTCAAAATCAGTCTTGAGCTTGATTATTTTCTGGGTTGAAGGATCACCTGGAGAAACTCAAATATGTATCATAGGAGAATATACATAAATAATGTATGTGTATTCTCCTCCAGTCACACTTGACACTTGACCCCAAAATAAGGTTTATCAAGTATTGATCTACCACTGAGTCTTTGATGGCAATCTATTTGTGATGACCACTCTAATATATACTATGCTTTTGACAGAAAGAGGTGTAGAAATGCCTATTCATACATCCTAACCACTATGACCTGCTAAAAGTGGTGACACCCAGGAAGGCAATGTCTCTAACAAGACATGTCAAAAATTACAAAGTCTACTCAAAGGATGATGTAACAATTTTTCAATGATCTTTCATTGTTTGCAGTCATTCCGCAGATCATACATGGCCCACTCAGCAAGTGACAAAAATTGATTGAATTCACACAGTCACATTTACTGATATATGTCACCAAAGGTTTATCTGATGGTCTCAGTGATAGTATTGGGTATAAAATCAGATAATCTAGGTAATTGTGGGGACCTGGGGATCTCTCTTACGCACCTACAGTGCACTGCACAAACAGTCTGGGAAATGCAGCATATTTGATGGTATAACATGGCCAAAAAAGCTGAAAGAAAACCCTATCCTCTTCAGCTTCCTGTGATCCATCAGCCTGTATGTATTTTAATTACCACTGGCACTACAGATCTTTCCTTTCCTTTACATTTTCAAGTCTCATATTCTGATTACCACCAAATTTTCTGTCATATCAGAAACTCTGTGCCCTTTGTTCCTATCTCATTTCAACTCAGTATGCAGAGCTCAAGCCACCAGGATTTGGGAACCCGGAAAACAGGTTAGGTCTTCATCCATTTCCTTTTAGCACTTGGTACTAGTATCTGGTTTTCTAATCTTGACACCAAAAATCTTTGACACAGTGGTTGTAGACCCTTCAACTTCCCTGTATACTGCAAGGATTGTTACAAAGACCTCCCTTGTTTTCAGGTGGTCTGACCAGAAGTTCATAACCATCTCATTGTATTTAAAGAGGTATTGCACCAGTTGTGTGAAGATGTGGTTTGAGTCAGTAAATCAGTCATATTGAATGAAAAATCTTATCCTGGACCTGACCAAATGCATATACAATGAGCAATACCATTTTGTATTCCTAGGATGAAAGCAAGTATCAGCAACACCTTGAGGCTAAATTGAGACAAACTTAAATCTGGTGTAAGACTTGTTTTGGGGTCTTTGTTTAGCTCCTTTGATCTGGATTCTACAAACAAAGTTGTGGATTGTTTGAAGAATCAAATTTTACTCAAAAAAAGAGGTAAGCAAAACTTCCAAATATCACACAAGTCTCACTTCACATTACAATTATTTCAACATCCAGCCTCAAGGTCATGCTCCTACTCACTTTCACACTGCATACAGAATGCTTTTGCTCTAGAACTTTGTTCATGGGCTTATCCTTGGTAATCTTTGAATACAAGATATCCTAGTTGCTATCATACAGATGTGTGTGCATGTGATGAACCTTCCCAAAGATGGTCATACTAGGGTATTCATCTTGTGGCATTTCCAAAAGGAATTTTTCAAGATATCCCCCAGTTCAGTGAATAAATTTGATTCCAAAGTGATTTGCTCTGATGCATGTCCTGATAGTAGCACAAGTATTTGATAGCTGAAAGGCTCCAGACCCAGTGTTGGGTTGTTCATCTAGAACTGCATTGGGTACAAAGGGGGAAACACAATCATTATCTTCTTTGAAAAGATGAAAGCCTCACTGGTATGTAAAAAAGTTTCAACCTCAACCTCCTGATCATAAGCTTGAGTTTGAAGAAAAAACCAACCTCTGATGAATACATAATCCTGAAACCAGCAAGAGACCATAGAGTAGATGCACATTCTTTTCTGAAACTATGTAATTTGGCAGAAAATACTATGTGCCACCTGATGACAAGTATATCCCAAGCAATGCATAACAAATTCCTATATGATAGAGGTACCTTGACAGGGAAACCATGAGTGATGTTTCATCAAGCGCACCATGTATCAGAATAATGCCATAGATGTCTAACAAGATCCAACTTGCGCTTTCAAAGACATTCAACAATCAAGCTTTTCAGTTGCAAGACCCAGCTAGTTTGTAAAATGTCACCCTTCTTCAGGTGGTGAGGGTTATTCCAATTTCAAAGATACTAGTAATGAAGCTGACTTACAATGAATCACAATTTGCAATTTTTACCAAACCCTTCTCAATGTGAAATGATTCTCACAGTGTCCCACTAAGATATTTTTTGAGTGGGAATGTTGTATCATCTTGCAAGTGGTAAGGCGGTTGAATAATTGGTTTTTATGTGGATTGAATTCCCCTCAAAATACAGGTAATCAAACTGAGTTGGTCCATCTGTTCAGACAGCTTGATATCATCATAGGCTTATTATAATTTACTTGGTCCATCAATTTGCAGCCAAGTGAAGATATCTCGGAGTTGAAGAAAGTGACAGGCTGAGGAAAGACAAAGACAATGAAAATGAAAATTAAATCAAATGGTGAATATCTCTGGAGAGAATGATGTTGAAGTTGGAAACATAGTCTATTTATTTTTCAAGTGCTGGATCAATGCCATAGTTGATCAAATTATCAAAAATATCACCATTTGAAAAACAGCTACTTTGCTGATGGCCATACAACTTAAGTTGATCTGCAATTAACCCAAGATGCCTCGGTTCCAAAAAAATGGTCACAGCTATTAAATGTGGAAGATAATTATGACCTGGGTTCTGAACCCAAGTAGGTAATTTGGTCTGCAAGTGTTGCAGCATCTCACAGCCTGAGACTGAGTCAATGGTGCGCTCAAGAGCTGCAATTGAAGCTCATGAGGTCAAGGTCAAATGAGTCTCATGCAATTCACATCAGGGGATATTCCTCAGACTTTGTGCAAGTGCAAGTATTGTGTTGGGAACCATGATGCAATCATATGGTAAATAGAAGGATTTTAAAGGCTGATTCATCAATAGCAGCACAACACTTCAAGAACATATTGCTAGGCAATGATCCATGGAATTCATACACCAAACAAATCAAATACATTTTTTTGTATCTAATTGGTGTATGAGGCTCATGACAGGATCTTTGTAGATGTGAAAGTAATTTACACACGGAATTTATAAAACACTAATTGACAGGTTTCTTTTTAAAGGAAAGAACCAAGAGAAGGTATGAAATGCACACATCGGTTAAGCAGTATTGCAGAAAACAAAAGTTGAAAATTTCAAGTCTAAAGTAGGACCCTTGACATGTGAGATGTTTAATCAAAGACTATTGACCATTTTTCAAGATCTACAGTTTGACAAAACACTGATAGCCCATTTAGCCATGAGTCCATGAGTAAGTTTTTGGGGGTGATTGGGAAGATAATACTATGAGAAAGCATGAAGATCATCAGTAAAGATCATTTAGTCTGGATGATTTGAGAAGCGAAGTACTTACGAGGTAACGGTCTGGATTTCGACATGCACCAGCCGCACTAGTGGCACTTTTGAGACACGAACCAGTGGATTGGTATCTATCACATAAAGAGTATTATTCTGTCAAAACTGTGGGTCACGTGTAGACTTGGTGAGCGATATATACTTACCCAAAAGCGCGGGGAGCAGCTGTGATAGTAGAGTAAAGGGTGGTAAAATCAACATAAGCAAATTGGATGGATGGATTTTTGGTCTTGAAAGCCTTTAAACCAGTCCATATGATATTGTTGAACTCGGTCAATGGTTCAGATATCATGGGGGGTGCTACAAGTCATTCCGGAAAGAGTACATCAGACTCAAGAAAAGTGAACGACTGTTTGAAGTGGTGACTGGAGTTAAAGCGTACAAAGAATGACTAAATTCCGAAACCCAGCTTGTACGAGGCGTTCGGTTTGACGAAGAAGCTCTAAGGCTGAACTGGAGAGTTTTGCTCCACGTCGGGAGGCAGAGGCCCAATCATTGATTCCGTACGAAATCAAGACCATCGAGCTTTTCACGAGAAGAACTTATCAGTGGGAAACCCAACCTCCATGCGGCCCGGCGAAAATCTTCATGACTCACGAATCTGTGTCGATGTGATTATGCTGGCCCAAGAACGTTTGGACATGTCCAATCATGTCTGTTTGCTGAGTCTATAGTACGAAAAAACAGGTTGAGAACATTGAGCCAGACTCGCAGAACATCAGAAATGAAGGGTTGCCATTTTACATCGGTAGGCGAGAGTGCGCTCGAGACTGACGCGCCACCGGCTGCATAATCCTTTACGAGAGCGCCAATCTGATGGCCAAATTGTTCAATCCATACTAGGCCATTCGAAGCCCGCTGACTGGTTATTAGACAACTTGAGTGCAATTCTTTTCGGCACTTGTAGTCAATCACTTACCCGTATTTCGGGCTACTGGGATCATGTACCGCTGGTGGTGGGTGACTTCCGATGTGTTGTCCATTGCTCATGTAGCTATCACCAAATCCATATATTGTCTGAAGTAATCATTTACAGAAGGATCAGCTCCTAGCCTCTGATTGGCGCGTGCATCATAAACTCAAGGATAACAGACTTTGATTCTTCTCAGGTTGATCCCTGTGTTGAAATTGTTGAACTGAGACGAGCCAAGGGTTCCGCACTTTGGTTGAACTGCGAGTCTGAGTGGATATGTGTCGATTGATTGCGCGGCTCCATTGGAAAGCATAGCCATGAGTAGGAAAACACCAGAGGAGAACATCGGGCCGGTTAATTACTTTACGAAGCCGAAAGTTTGAAAGCTATAAATGAACGAGTGGAATTTGGGAACGCGATCAGAGACAGCAAAGGACAGGTTAGGTGCCTCGACAGACTTAAAGGTTATTCGTGAACTCTTGAGCGAGTCCCCATCTTGACTCACCAGAGATCCCTTTGGGGCATTCTGCCGTGACTCTGGACCCTGCAGGGCTTGCAAATATGGAAACTCAAGAAGGTTTCCCCGGGGAGCCCTAAAATCGCCCCTTCATCATAGCGAACCCACGAGACGGATTAGAGAAGTATGATCACGTCGTGCGTTATGTGTCAAATCTAAAGCTACAACTGTATTTCGGGAAACGGGAGTGGACTGGAGTGGACTGGACGTGAACATCCAAAATATACTCGCACCAGTGGCAGCCGCTTAAGTACATGTCGTAGACGGCGAGCAGCGATTGGCGAGAGATGCGCATGTTTGAATTGTCAATGGGCATGGGTACAAGGCTCACAAGTCAAAATCACACTTGAAATTTTCAAAACCCTTCGTAATTTGTAAATTTTAAGAGAGAAAGATCTTGGAAGGGGTAAGGCTGGCAAAGAAGCTTCCTAGACACAACTGGACCACATTTCTTTCAATAAATAACCTCCTCACTCCAAAGCCAAATGTCAGAACTGAGATTCCTCTCAATCACACACCTTTTGAGTCAATTGGGATAATTTTTCTAGACAAAGAAGTTGCAAAAGATAAAGATAACAAAAACCCGATGATAATGAAATGTGATAATCAGTACGAAATTCAAAGAGTCCATCCTTGGAAAAAATGTAGAAATTTGTATTGGAGACTTCCTGTAAAGAAACAAAATTCTAGCCAGAAGGTGAACCAAGTGGTACTTTCTAGCAATAGCAATGATGACTAGAGACATGAGGCCAAGCAGATCTTGTGATTTACAGGTGTCAAAAATAGACTGATGAACTCAAGTGTGATGATTCTTACATGAAGAGATCACTTTCAAAAGAGTCCCATTTAGATAGGATCAGAAGATATTCCTTGGATGAATGTATTTTTGTTGTATGCAACTTTCATGTGATCATATAGCAAACCAAAAATATCCAAAAACTGCTTGAGTAATTACAAGAAACACAAAGCTTCAAGAAGGCTTTACAAGATGTCTTCATATGTCAGAATCATGCATCGAAAGTATTAAATCTACTTGCTTTGTGGATCCAATTGGTGTATGTATCCTGCTCATAGAAGGGTCTTTGTATATATGAAAGTGATATATACACGTAATCTATCAAGCACCGTAGAAATACTCACACCTGGTTTCTTTTGAAAGCAAGAGCACAACAGGAGGTATGAACACCACACATAAATCAAAATATGTGGCAAAAAAAGTTAAAAGTATAGATCTTTGACCTGTGAGATGGTTAATCAAGAACTATGTACTTGATAAAACATTCAGCCATCAGTCCACGAGTAAGTTTCTGTGGGCCATGGGGGATGTACTCCTACAAACAAAATCAATCAGTAATAAAGAAATGAATTACTGATGAGGTAAAGGTCTAGATTTTCACAAGCACCAACCCTACTATTTGAGCTTTTTGAGCACAAAACATTAGGTTGATATCTAGAAAGCTTTGATTTGTCAAAATAATAGGTCGCATGAAAAAGTAATGTTGAACATGCTTAACCAAAAGATTGGAGAGAATCTTCGATAGAACTGGCAGAGAAAAGCATAGTGAAGTCAACATGAGCAAATTTAAACCTGCAGTCTCTACAGGATAGAAGAATAAAAACACGCTGAAAAGGATACAGTCTGACCTGCGCAAATGCATACCCGCGCAACTGCATAACCCGTGATAATGCATAGAAAAAATCCTAAATTTTGATACTTTTTACTGCCAAATTTGACAATGGAATTGCATAACCCGTCAAAATGCATAGCGAAAGCCTTCCACCCAAGTTATGCATTTGCGCGGGTTAGACTGTAGTCAAAATCTGACAAATGTGAAGTCTTTGGAAAATATGATTCAGCTGTGTAAGATAATGTGTTTGTATGAGTGCTGACATTCCGACCACGCAAGGCCCCTCAGCTTGTCTCACGAACCTTATTTCTCCCAGTCAAGCAAGTTCCCAGACTGGCGCATACTGCACCAGATGATTACACATCGTTGGAACTGGGAATGGACTGAAAATGGACATCCAAAATACACTCACATCAGTTTTGTACCAACGAACACCATCACATTGTATAGACAGCCCGCAACGACTGTGAGGAGGTTTACGCTTTTGATTACTTCACCAAATCTTAAGCTTAACCAAGACTAGCCATATTGCCAAATTGCAGTAGAAATGGACAAATCATATCTCTCAATGGCTAATGTTTAGGACAAATGGCTACAACGCTGCCAGTCAAGTCTCAGCCCATGGAGAAGTACACGATTTGTGAAAGGAAGACCGAGAAGAAAATGGTTTGAAACATAACTTGCCTTGGAAATGTCAACATTTGGATCATTCGAGATCTGTTTCGAGAAGACTTGATCATGAGAGGCAGATCACGACTGTGCATGAGACATCCATCATAGCCTGCAACGCGAAAGAAATCTAGTCCTTTCACCTGTGTCCCACATATTCATTGCAATGTATGTAATTTACCCTATACATACATACATACATACTCCATACAAAAGAAGAGCCGCTTAATACAGTGATACGTGAATACAATTGGTCCACACGATTCTTCGTAGTTTGCCTATCGACAATATCTTCAAACAAATACAATCGCGTCTTCCAAGAGCCCTAGGACAGTCTGATATATTGCCCAAGTTTTTATCCATGGTGTTCGAACATGCAGTCCTGATGGCCGGTTGCGAACGTCAAGTAACTAATGTAACAAAAGCCATAAGTGACGTGTCAAGGCAAAGTATGGATGGAATAAACCGACTTCAACATCAAAGATCAAATCGGCGTCAGGAGGGATTTCAGGCGTGGCTGGTGTTGAAGCATTTTCTCTGCATCAGTTAGGGTACGCACCTGGTTTAGATGATTGGACTTGAAAGACAAACCTAAATCATTTCCAAACTCAGCATATCCAAGAGCTGATGGTATGTTGAGCCTTCTTTTCTCGCCAACGCACATCCTATAGGCCATGCAGTGGCAGTTGAAGTGTCAGAAGTGGCGAGTTTTGTAAAATATATCAAAAGCAAAAGTGTGGCCGATTGGTTTCCGAGACAAAGGGAGTGACAAACCCTAAAATCCCTTGTTCCCATCCCTAAACAAGTTCCAAAGGGGTTTATCAGAAACAATAACGTCATGTCTTGGGCAATGTCAAGGGTGCAAGATGGTGCAGATGAACACTACACACCTTGATGACTTGATGACTACCCAAGACAAACTCAATCGGCCTGATATAGAAATCAAAATATGATACATCTCGTCAGATTATCGAGGAAACAATGCCACTTCGAACAGAATGCCCACTGAACTTTGAAGGATCTGATGCTGAGTCAAATTGTTGTCCATTCGATGCTAGTCTACCGGTATACAAAAGACTGTCGATCACACAGATATTAAATCGTGGGGACGTAGTATCAACGAATAGATCAGAGAACCAACTCACGCTACCTTGTCACCTGTCTCAGCCGCGATAGGGCAGCCTTCCCAACCCTCCTCCACAATTTCGATGCCCACTTTTGCTTCTAGGACTGGCGGTTTACGATTCAATATTTTCAAAAGCTACACTGACCAATCCTCTGGGCTGATGATCAGACCATCAAGCAGTAACAAGAGAACAACCCATCAAGCACCGTGACAAACCCATCTTACCTGCACGTCAAATACTAGAGTGGAATCTGGTGGGATCTCAGTCCCCGCTAACAGGTCACACAATCGAAAGTTGAAGAACAATACCCGCATCAGCCATACGTTAAAATCGAACCACCGGGGCTGGTATTTAGCTAGGGTGATCGGGCCACTGACCTCCATGCTTTCCATAAGCCAAAGCAGAAGGGATGGTAAGAGTCCGATTTTCGCCTTCGCACATGCTGGTTTCGGGATACAAATGAATGAAAGATGCAGTCAAAATCAACATTCGTTCATCTTCAAGATAGATTACCCCTGGGGATCACACCCTGACTGAACTCGAGCAATCCCTGGTCCCATCCCTATTCAAGCCAGAAAATAATGGACATAAGTTTGCTATGAGAACCGACCACGACAAAGGATAAGCAACAGCTCGACATACTTTGATGACCTCGCCAGCACCGAGCTTGAATTTGAAAGCACTATAAGGTCGCCATTATGTGAGCATCGCGAATCCAAAGCTTGTAACAGGCTGCGAGCCTTTTCTAAAGCAAAGCGCACTTTCTGGGATCCTCAGTCGCATCGAATCGGACGCCATTCGAAGCCAGCGTTCCTACGTAGAGCATTCTGGGAACAACTCAAGAGACCTTGAGACTCTGTGCATCCAAAGACTGTAACGCGAAGGTCACTGACGCGAGTTGATCACCTTGCTGACTAGTGATTGGACACGAGGACGGTTTGAAGGTTGTCTTGATATCAAGTTTCTCTGTGGGTGGAAGGCCGCCAGCTTGAAGTAGTGGTAAGGCCCAGGTGAAGGCAAATGCATAGGAACGTGCAATCATCACTAATTCATTTGAAGGTTTGTTGTTGAGGGCGCGGAGTTCCTCATTGAAGGCTTGAAGTTGCTCTAGCCTGTCACAGAGTCTGTGCAGATATGTAGCACGAATGTCACGTACAGTTCATTGAATGTGAAACGGTGAGCTACTATTACCAAACCTAACTCATTCACAACCACAACTTCACCCTCGACCTCGAAACATCAAAACCAGCTGAGCGATGCCTTCTCCCTCTCCTCATCAACGCATTCCTCCCTCAAGTTATGCAGCCATTCATCTCCTGGTGCGATGATATGGCTGCTCATGATCTCAATGTGAGTTGTCCCAAGATTTCACTCTTTCCTCAACTTCTCTCCCTCGCTTGACTCGCACTTGGTCTAGGATGCTATTACAAATGTATCAAATCAAACTAGAGTTTCTGATTTTGTTGGGCTTCATCGCTTGACGCTGATTGTCACTGCATAATCTTCTCTCTGAGACCATCAGATCTATTGACCTCTCCTTCAAACGTGATGAATTCCTGACGCTAACGATTCGTGACTGTTGCCCGGCCAGTACCATCTACATCCCTAGCCTGCTATATATTTCGACTCGACAAGAATTAAATGCAAGAGGTCAGTTTGTAGTGGTCGTATCTTACTCCTTTCCTCTCCTTGAATGATGATCTTGTAAAAAATATGGAATTACCGGCGGAACTTTTTGCTTGACCCTTGTGGCAAGCTCTTGCTTGACCCTAGTGGCAAGCTCTTGTTTGACCCTTGTGGCAAGCTTGCGTGTCGAGAACAGTTGCATTCTTCTGACCTTACCAGTGGCTCACATTACACATCTCCGGGGCTCAAGAGTTCATTACTGACGTACTGCTATTTCTTTGACTGGACGAATTTAGGTTATCGCCACTCCGATCTACGCGTTTGAGTCAAGTTCCAGGTAGGCGACGTTTCCTCTGTCTCTTTTCACCTTCTCAATGATGAGCATTTCCATTATCACGACGGTCTTCGTAACAATTATGTCGAATTTGCCCGCCACTAAACCATTTTAACGGGCATACTCTGAACCTCACACCCTCTTCCACTCTCTGGTCGTCAATTGCTAGTCGCTGATTGATATCGTTTCTTTTCGTACTTGACAGTCTTCATTTAAACCCGTGCAAGTACGATGTATAATTTTCCTTCAGCAGAACACATCTTGTAACATTGATTCATATGTAGCCTAAAACAATGAAATGACAACCTGCTTCCCTGATTAAACTCCCTCCCAATGAGATCCTTCTTTTGACACCGTCCTCTGATAATCAGAGCAGAGCAAGGCCTCGCTGCAACTAATTGAACTTGAGCAAGCCCCTCAGGGCGGCGTCCGCCGCGCCCCCGTAAGGGCTAACTTCACTAGTCCCTCTTCAAGGCGCAGACATCCTCTGGCGCCGGCGGAGGAGGGTTATACGCGCGAAACGCAAGTTCCTGCGTGATAGAAGTGCAAAATTGTCTCAACATTTCCTCTTCAACGTGTACATATGATTCCCAAGTAACCCTGCATCATTGATAAAAAAGTTGTAGAGATGAAATGAGATTGAATCAACGTAACTGGTGGATCTCTTCATTGCATGACTGTGTGAACAATTGGCTCACACAAACTGGCTTGACCCACATGAGTGTGTAAGATATGTTGTTGCAGCAGATCTGTGAATATCTTGACTTATTCAATAATCAATTGGCTTGATTCTGGGGTTCTGGAACAGTTCAGAAGAATCTGAAGAAGGCAAAAGAGATGGAAAATTTCCGCATCATATTTCATAAGAGCACCTTGAAGTTCTGGATTGTGTGAGGTGGTAAACTTGATGCCCAGAGAGAGTCACAGCCAAAGCAAAATCCTATCAGACTTTGGGATATGTTTAAGCCACAAGCCCTCTGCAGGCTCCAGGTGACATCTCTGTGATTGGTGTGGCTTGTGTCAAGCTAGTTGTAGAGGCACTTACAAGATACAGCAGACTTGCATTTTTGGTGGAGAACTTCCAAGAATCAAGTCCTGTTATGTACTTTTGTCAACTTCCCTTCTAAACCTCACCACCAAAAGTTGCAGGATCCTTGGGTGTACTTTGCCAAATTAATCTACATATCTTGCTACAACACACTGGGCAAAGTGAGGTCATGTAGTGAATACAGGTTGTGTGGTCATGTTGAAAACAGAATATATTTCCACACCCTTGGTCATGTCACAGCTACATGACATGTCTTCATGTAGCACACCGCTGCCACTCATACAAGTGAGATGTGTGTGGGGCCTACAAGAATAGTGTGATACAGATTGTGTGAGTGACATATGGGTGTGACACATGTACCCTTCAGTGTGTACTCAAATACATGTGATTGGTATGAGTGGTACAGAATGCGCACAGGATGAAGAATCCTGCATGCCTGACAGGTGCACCCAATATGCATTCAGGACCGCACAACCTGTATGCACTGCATGACTTCAATTTTCCCAGGGTGCAACTTTCAATGCAAGCAGACCTGGTGCTGTGACCTAGCCCTGGCCTCAACTGGCTGACTGTGCCCACTGCTTGTCTGGAAGCAGACAGTACATACCCTGACACACCACAACCAGCTTGATAGGAGTCCTAAAAGCCCTGTGGGTACCCTGGCAGCACCCCTCATTTTGTTTGCCGTATATTCAAGGAAATTGCCTTCTGAGTGGGGTCCCATAGTTTCAAGCTCTGAGCAGGCTAAAATAAGTTTTATACACAGTTTCATACACCTGTATGTGCAATAACAAGAATTCTGCCCTTTGGTCCTTTTTAGCTCTTATAATCAATTCAAGGTGTGCCCCTGTGTGCCCTGATTTATTTATGGACCCCAGAAAGCCCCCCCCCAACCAAGTGACACATTTGGTATGATTCCAGTTCTCAAGATTTTGTCATGATACCAACAAAATTGGTATGAAAATGGCTGGTTGGTAAATCAACTTACACACATGGCCAGTATGATTCTCAGGAGCCTTTTTTGGAAGTACAACATACCAGCGTGTTTGGTCCTGGATGGTATGGAAACATTAGGACCCTGGATAGCGCGTACAGACCCTCCTAACAAAATGCACTTTTTGGGTATTTGCTTGTGCACACAACACTCCACTACTTATGGAGGTGCACAGTAGCTCATTGTGTGCGGGCAAAGAAGGGCTATCTTATGATGCCAGCCTCGAGTTTTTTGGAGTGCTGGTTGAGGAGAAAAATGCAAAAAACGTGACTGATTTTTTTTGATGATCCTGAGCAGATTCCTACATACTGGGGCTGGGTCTCTACATCGGGTTTTACCCAAAACTGCTGCTCCTACTCAATTGAAAGTATATGTACTAGAAAGATACAGTCTTGTTTAACCTGTTGCAGTTTTCAAAACTCAGAAAATGATCATGGCCGCGTGGGAAAAGCCCAAAACCCGACAAAAACAAAACTCAGGTACCAATTAGGGGGGTGTATTTGGGCTCTCCAGGGTCCTGAAACATTGCTTTGTAGACTAAAGCAATTTCAATCAGCCTTCTGCTTCTGATTCTGTCAAGTGTTGAAGATTTTAATGACTATACCTTGAGCATAAACTGCAACAATGTGGTCTCAAGATATGTGAGAGCACACACCATTCAATCAGACCAATAAGCCATGCCAACCTGATGGACCACTGTGGGCCATATCCATCAAATCTTTTGAAACCTACAATTATTGTGATTTGGGTGTTACCAACATGCCTGGGGTTTTCTTTTCTAATCTTGAAATCTTACAAAAAAATGGTATGGAAGTTCCAAAAATCCAAAAATTCAGGTTTCATGTTGATTGATCCAGGGGGAGCTTTCTGGGGTCCTGTCCGCCCAGGGGTGGGCAGAGCATCAGAGCAGCCAGGTCACCATTGGTAATCCTGATCTTATCAAATTTTATGTCATGGTTACCACAGTCAACACCCAACCCCAGCACAGGCCAGCACAGAGTGTGCTAAACTGCACTGTGCCCAAAATTTCCAAATTGCACATACCAACTGCGCTGCACTGAGTTACAGTTACCCAAAATCTTGGAGACCCCTGTGGTGTGCTCCAGAATTGGTAAGCTCAGCACAGTGAGCCAAAAACTGTAATTTTTTGCAGCTTTTTGTAAATGGCAAGTGCAATTTGCTGATTTTCAAAAGGAGAGAATCTGTGGGAGTAGATAGATCCACTACACTGTGAAAAGGTACAGTGCCATGGTCAGAAATAGAAAAGGGCCTGCGCTGGTGAGTGGCACAGTCACGAAATTTTCAAAAATCCCAGGACTGAGCCTCAGCGCAGGCACAGGCTGTGCTGCAACTTGGATGTTTCTATAATGATATGTGCATTATGGCAATGCTGCCACAGTTACTATACTAGTATCAGTATCTTGCAGTATAGTATCTTTTTGAAAGTATAGTATCCAGATACTTAGTATTGGAAACCAGATACTATACTCCCAGGTGCTGAAAGACAGTATCTTGAAATTGAATACTAGTATCTGATACTCTCCCAAATGTAGATACTAAAGATACTTGGTATCTGCTCAAGATACTATTGGGTATCTGGAGATACCTGAGGATACCCGTGAGTATCTGAAGTATACACAGGAGATACTATACGGACCCTGAGGGTTTTAGGTATCCTGGTTTTGGATACCGTATCCAGTATAGTATCTTTTTAGGATACTATACTGATACTTTTTTTTGCAGTATTGCAAAGGAGATACTATACTCAGTATCCCTGGTACTATACTAGTATAGTAACTGTGGCAGAGTTGATTGTGGTGCAGTTACTGTTGTAGATGTACATCCTGTGTTATGATTGGATATTTGTCTACCAATATTGATAATCTCTGTGTGATATTAACTCTCATATCACATGTGCTATATTTCCTATCATCAAGTGTCCTATGTGTCTGCACCAAGCCAGAAATTCATCTGTTCAAAGTTCTTTCTCTTTCCTCACAAGCTAATCATTATAACACTTGTGAATCTGTGGATGACTCATAGGTATGTTTCTTTTTTATATCTTAGTCATATATCACTCTTTATGTCTTTTTTGTTAGTTTTGTTTATGTTTGCAAAATAAAAAACATCACCCATTCAAAGCCAATTATCTTTTGTTCACAAGCTAATTGTTGATGCGCTTGTGAATCTGTGTATGACTCATACTTACAGCCCTAAGCAGCCCACTCTCCATGGCTTGGGCATGGCATAAAAAAGGGCCTCACAGTGGTTAAAGCCAAAAAAAATGTAATAATACTGCCTGCAAAAGTTTCTGAGTTCAGAATTTGTGAAGTTTTTTTTTGAGGAAAAAAAATCATTTTAGCCCCCAATGTTAAAGGGTTTGGGCCTTCTTGGGTCCCCTGGAAATGGTAGCAGCACTGAATTACAAGACTTCTAGGGCCAAAAAGGTTCAATTTGTTGCCATCAAGATTCAATGAGGCTTGGGTTGTAAATTTACACTAATTGCGCGTGGTGGTAGCTATAGCAATATTAGCATCACACTCAGTACCTAGCTAAGCAGTGAATTTGGTGCTGGGTCCAAACTTTTTTTTGCCTGTTAGAATTCACATGGATCTAGAGATCAGAAAGGGTGACTTCATATACAGTTGTTTTCAAAAAGCTTGCCGACATTTGCCCGCAAAACTCGAGCAATTTGGCGGTGAATTAGCGGCAAGCTTTTTGAAAACGACTGTATAACTGAGATTGAAGTAGGGTGTATCAATCCTGATACCTGGAGTTCCTGATACCCATAGTGCGCCACTAAGTAAAAGCATGATCTACAACTATAGTGAGTATGGGTCATAACACTGCCTTTTTTTCAAAAACACATATTTTCAACATCACCTTTGAATATTTGGATCAAGCTCAGTGAGTAGATTTCAAATGTGCAAGTATTGTAAATAACAGTGAATTTGAATTGTGCATTATCCATCCAACAAATGAAATTTTATTTTGCAAGTAAGATTGTTACACATTCTTAGCTTTACATATGGCCTGTTATGATGGCCCAGGACAGCCTAAACCTCCTGTGTATGTCTCTAACAAAATTTGAAAGTATAGAAATGGAAATCTTACATTTCAAAATCAGAGTACTCACTTTCAATTTAGCACAAACCAGCATATAAGGTACCAAAATATGTAAAAAGATCTAGAGAACAACTTACAAGAATCCAGTAACTTTTTGTGGTGAGGTTTAGAGGGGAAGTCAAAAAAATTCATTCCAGAATCCTAAGTCCTCTGCCAAAAATTGTGAGTATGTTGTAAGCCCCTCTTCAAGGGTGCAGCAAACATTATTGTAAGGGGGTGAGTTAATTTTAGCAACTAATACACTGCTCTAGAATTGGCCTTGAGATCCCTCTGTCCTTACCAGGCTTTCAAACTGTCCTGTGTTAGAAATTTGGTGTGAGACCAGTCAGATGATAGGTGCCTTTCCTATGACACCCATTTTGAGGCCCTCACTCATCAAACCTTACCAGAGAGCCAAATCAAAACTGTCACAACAGACAAGACTGGCTTAAAATTGTCATACAGGGACAGTTAGTTGCTATGGAAAATACAATTGTGACCTTGACATGAGATGTGTTAGTTATCTGTACATTTTTTGTCTTGTTTTGATGTTTTATCTTGGTGTATTGAGGAGACTAGTGACTCAATATTGGCATTAGAATTCGTTTTTTGTTCTTGTGGTCATTGTCTTCATTCTTTTGTGTGATACTAACTGTTGACTGTGTTTCTCTTATCACTATAATATACCTATGATGAGACATACCTGAGTTTGATCCTCAACTTATTTAAACCCTTTTTATACTTTCACTTATCAATCAGTCTTTAATAATACTTATGAAATGACATTTCTTGGTTGTGCAGGGCTTATAGGTTCTTCTCTCTTGAGTAAATCCACATTTTATCAAAATATGTCACTCAACTTGGTGTGGGATTATCAATATCCCACTTCACTGCTTTACTATCTGTTGACTTCATCTTCTCCTGCTGCTGACTTGGTCCTATCTACTGCCACTGGTTTACCAACTGAATCTTTGGTTCCTAGTGTTCTCACTGTAACTCAGCTGGAAATCTTTCATTCTTTAGAAGACCTCCTGTCTCAACTTTGAACTTTGTCTCCTCTTCTTCCTATCAAATCTTGGCATAGATAATCCTAATCCCAGCAACAATACTATCTCATATGCTAGGATATTTCCCAACTGGAATAAACACTCACATTTCCCCCTGAAAACTAGAGGTTTGGATCAGATGCTTGCTTCAGATTCCAAAGCCTACAACTGCTGACAAATTAGCCCATATTGTGTCCAGAGGCACATCCTTGTCAATCTAAAATCAGGGTCCAAAATGAACTCCAGATGTCTCAAATTGACATCACAACCAGCCAAAGGAAATTCTGGAATGCTCTCATCCAGAGACAAGCATAGCTTTGTGGACAGAATGAATGAATTATTTTTTTCCAAAGAATCAATTTTGATTGTCTGTCCAGATTAAATTTATATCCACAACCTTTTCTCATGTATCAAGTTGAAGGGAAGAAGAATCTGAAGACCAGAAGCTTGTGAAGTTGAGAGAGTAAGTCATACTTGACTTGAATGCCCAATAGACATTTTTGCTGAAGAAGTTAAATCCCAAGTCGGTTGAAGGAGTCTGGATTTTGACCAGACATGGCTAATTGATTGAGTATTGAAATGATTTCAAGTTGGTGAGGACTTGCTTCCACACTTCATCCCTCAGGTCTCAACCCTGATGACTTCTTTGGGTGTGTGAAAAGTGTCTTGACGCAGTAGAAATATGTCATATTCCCTTATGTGTTTAGAGAGGTTTTATAAATACATGAATTTGTGAATTTCTTCAGTATGAATTCGATTGTTGATAATATTCGAATCATGACCACCAAGGATGCTTCACTAGATTCATTCTTAGATATCCTAGCTCTAAGACTCTCATCAGTTCCATTCAATGAACTAACTCAACAACAACAACAACATCAACCCCAAGTTCCAGATCCAATCAATCGATCTACAACCAAACCAGTCACGATATCTTTTGTTGGTAAACTAATCAATCCGATCCAATCTTTTAATTCACAATGGATCACTTTTCAATCCATTGTTCCATTTTGTAATCAAACTTCAAAATCTGGTCTTTTACTTCCTGTTATCAAACTTAGGAATACTGTTGTCAAACCTCATGGAACTAATCATGATGAACTTTCGGAATGGTTAATTGTCTGTTATTTACCTTTTCATACATATCTTATCTTGATAGATCAGTTTAACTAACTCATGATCCATTCTTACTCCCAAAAAATCTATACAAAACAGTCTGGTGATTTATCTATGATCGGAGAACAACTCACAATCGTAGCTCAAAGTCTATACATCCTCGAACCCAACCAAATCCCATGCGAAAGAATCTCTCAAATCTGTGCCACAGGTTTACTGGCAGGTATCGTTCAAAAGCAACATACTTTTCACTTCAGCTCTCATCCGATCAATCACGATTCCAAAGTCGAGTTTGAAGATCTAGAATGGGATGATGCCAATATCTGCGATCGATCATCGATCACTGCTGGAGCAGTTACATGGTTTGATATTGGAGTTGGATTATCTCGAAGAGAAGAAAACGATCCACATGAATGGTTAGAACTTAGACACGCGATGGTTTCGATGAAGTGTAGGAGATCTACTTCAGATACGAAAGATAACGATCGGGTATTAGAAAACCTAGAACCTGTCACTATTGTTGGTCAACTAATGGAATTGAATTTAGAAACTCAAGAATTCTTTATTCAACTCTAAGAACTCAAACTATAGATTTATTAAACTTCTTTTATATTGATCTTGAATGATTAGTGATTTCATTTTGTTTCTTGAATTTGTATTACTACAAGCTTTCATTGCTTTGCCTTCTTGGACACATAATCTTGATTGACTTGTTATTCATGTAACTCATGGATTTTAATATCCGGATAAGCTAGTCACTTCTTTGAGACGAAGCGTCTCTTACTGGCATTGAGTGTGTAAATCACTTAGTCGCGGCCTCTCAAAAACACGTTGAAGGCTGAGTTCATTCCAGGTCAATTGACAGTGGTAGTGAAGAAAATCATTAGATTCATTTGAGTCTGATCGATGCGGGGTTTATTTTTATATAACAAGAAATATATTATTTTGATCATAAAAGGAAGAGGTTCATCATACCAAGAGACTGTCAGTTGATTCAAGGAAACAATCAATGAGGAATTGACTGAAACTTGAAGTTATGGAGATAAGTGTATCTAATTGTTAATGCAGCTACTTGAAAATATCATCAAGAGATAAAATCGCTCTGTTTGTTTTATCTTCTCCTCATCTTCCATACTAACCAAAGTAACAAATATCTCTTCATTCAACACCTCTCAGTTTTTCTGACTATCGCTTCATCAAACTAATCTGAATCAATCTCTTTCAATTAACATTAGATAATTTATTCCAATCAAACAATAAATAATCCAAACACCTATCTCCTTTCCAACCTATATGTTCATTGAAAGATCCCACCCCAAAAAAAAACAAAACAAAAATAAAATAAAACAACAAAATGAGAGTAAAAGATGAGTGTGATGAGTAAGATACAAAAAAATCAGAAATAAGTTTTTTTTACATTTTCCACATGAAATTCAGACATATATATAGATATCTTGATAGATAATCAATCATTCTTGGAAAAAGGATTAGTCAATTAAATGAAAGTTTTGAACGAGATTGATGGATTGATTGCTAAGAGATTAGTGAAACGATAAGATGATTAATGAAAAAGAAGAAAACGTATAAACACAATTGATTGAGAATGATAAAAATGATAATAATGATAATGATATTATATTCTGTACTTTTGAGTAGTAGTAGTACAATAATGAAATAGAAAAACCCCCAAATTTCGAACCCAAAACCAACCTATTTAAGTGATTCAGAAGCATTCAAAACAAATCTAAACCTCGGAATCCAAGTTTTCCATTCTTTCCTAAGCTGATCATCAATAAACAACAAAGAGATCAAAAATGGAAAACTAATCATATAAACCGATTGAAAGGATTGATAATGTCGTAGGTATCGATGATCGATTTGAGAAGTTGAATACCATTGAAATCCAGTTCCAATAGCAGCCAAGGTTGATAAAAATAACATCTTCAAAATCAAATGAGTTCCAAAACTTGAAACTAATTCTTGATCTTTCCTTTGACAATGTTGAATTAAATAGATTATCACTGCAATCACTGTTTGGGTGAGAGATTAAAAGTCAGATGATTTGTTGGTCTGTTGAACAGATGATCTATGTACTTTCAGAAAAGAAAACTTACTGGCTAGAATTGCAACAGACAAGAGTTGGAATAATGAAAATAGAACAATCGTCTCATTCACTTGTTCATTCGAACTTGCGCAATGAAATTGATATGCTAAGAAAAGATCATCCGACTTTCATCAGCAGACCAATCAAGCACACACACACACACAGAGATACAGTGAGAGACAGGTAGCCAAAGAGAAATCAATTCTTACCGCGTACTTCTTTCCAATCACTCTGAGCCAATTTCACCAATAATAAAATCACCACAGCCGAAGAATTCACAATAGGAATCGAAAAGAGACAGATACCAGGAATGGTACATCTCTTGAAGATTCGAGATCGATATCTTGACAAATCTGATTTAACACTAGAGCTTGAAGTTGATGCTTGATCATTAAAGATTTCCAAACCTGATTCAATCTCAATTTCATACTTGATCTTTGATTTGATTATTGATCCTGAAGATTCTTTCTTCTCTTTTGTCATCCTTCCAACATTGATCAAGACCCTTAAGACTTCTAAAATGAATGAGAAAGAAAACCCTAATGGGGAAACAAGTGTGAGAATGACGCGTTGAGGTTGTTAAAGATATAAGCTGGTCCCTACCTGGTATCGCGGTCCAAACTGTGAGCCGAAGAGCAAAAGTTGATCAGTACCATGTGATTGCAACGAAGAAATATCTATAGTCGGACTCACATGCTGATGTTATGATCGCGTCCGCATTGCACACGCGTCTGACTGTATCACAGAAACCAGCAACACATAGAAGAAAGACATCAGTAACGTTCTAGTGATGTGATTGAAAACAGGTTAATCACTTGTATACTAAATCACCCAAACATATATTTAAAAAGGAAGGTGAAATGAGCATATATCAAGGAAAAAAGAAACGCACGATTACTTGATACTAAAGTCGATTTGAAATGAAGTTCTCTAAAATTTAAAATTAATGGTATCATCGCTTGCCAAGCGGATAACCAGGAGAGAATCAAAAAAGCCATCACCACTGCGTGTTTATTGATTCTTGCTCTATAGATCGCAAACAAAATTGCCCCGATGAACCAAATTGAGATAATCTAAAGATCCTCAAATGAAATGAAAGTATCAAATTATATAAAGTAAACGTTAGTGTTGAAAAATTTTGATGAGAAAGATGTTGAGAGAGAGAGAGAGATATGATGACTTACTGCGAGAGATTGGTGTAAGATGAAAATAAACTCATTCCGCATGATAGAGTATCCGGACTTTCAGAAAAAGAAAAATGAAAAAAAAAGATGAAAAATAAAAAAAAAGAATAAGGAAAGAGAAGAGAAAGATATTTTTTTCAAGTTAGTAAACACGTTAAAATCATTACTAGAAAAAAACAATGAAGAATAAATGATGATGATGATGATGATGATCGTATATAGTATGATAGCAATCGACTTAAAAGACTTGGTTGTTCTTCAAGGGCGAATTCTCTGTCTCTGTCTCTCAAAAGAAAATAGGTTGTTATAATACAAAAGTTGATATGTATCAAGATTTTCGAATGATCTGGAAATGAAAAAAAGATAATCCAGATAGTAGTTCGCTTCAAAGAAAATTGATTATGATTCTTTTGTACAACGGATGTCTTTAACAAACAAAAGAGAAGGATAGAAACAAAGGAGTATTTTTTAATGACAGAGTTAATCCTCACCTGAGCTACCTTCGTATCTGAAAACTATGAAGATCGATTCCGTTGTGACGATTCATCAACGGATCAAGTCTCATTGATCGAGTATCATAGGTTGATCTTGGGGTGTAAAGAGTGAGCTGTTGTAGTTCGGCCTATGATGTCAATCAACGACTCATTCAAGGGATTGATAAGTTGTAAGAAAACTCAAGTAGACCTTCCATATTTGAATTCCCTTTAGAATAAGAATCTAGACACGCGTATTTGAGTGCTTCTAGAGCGTGAAAAGAACAAAGTAAACATGGAAGGAAGAATGATGATACTACCATCTTTACGCCCATTCATGATCTGAGTGGAATATCGGATGGATTACTTCCGGGGTACTTGAGCATATTCACTTTTCTCTTGGCCTTAACACCCGTAGGGACGGCCGGAGCAGATAGTATTTCAAGAAGGAAGACCAGGAACTATTGGCTAAACTATACGTCTCTGGGTTTGGAAGCCGCGAGTTTCATACAGCCACAAGTCATACCAAATGAACGCACTCACGAATTATATTGCCCCACCCAGGTGTCTTCATCCCCCACATTCAACACCACCTCTCACTTAGAAATCACCGAGTTGGCAATTCGGAAAGGTCTTGTTGATGATAGTTTTTAGCAAAGTTTCACTCACATGTAAATTGTAAAACAGCCTAAGGAAAGAAGTTCAACTTGGGACCAAAGAAGCTAAAGCCAGCAAGCCTCAGAGTAAAAAGTGAAGAACTTGATTTCTATTTGAACAATCAAATTCATTCTCAACTCGCCGCACATTCATACCACCACATAAAATCTTCCAAGAATTTCTATTCATACAAATACACCATTTATAGTTTCCTTGATTCTCAAAACCTTAAAAGCGTCCCAAGTTGATTGATTCTATCCACCGTGTATAGGCCAGTTCACTTGATGATATCAACAACACAAAAGAGGAAAAAAAAACCCAAAAAAATAAGAGAAAGAAAGAAACCAATCAGACTTTATATCTCATGACTATAAATCTTTCATAAGGTTTAGTAACATTAAGAATCTCGAATCCATCATGTTTCCAACCAGTAAATTGATCAAGTGTTCCTTTAACTTCATTCCAATCAATCGAAGGTCCAATCTAAACTAACATTTCAACTTCTTTCATCATTTGAAGGTATTTCTTCATGACTGATTCAATGGGTTTTGGGTAAACAAAAAGCAATTTACGTGTAGAACTAAAGTTGATCATCGGTTCTGTATCCCATACTCCTCGAAGTCCTATAAATTCTTCGCCTTGAAGGTATCGGTTCGTATGTGTTTCAAGATCGATTCCTTTTACATTTATTCCATTTTGAATCATATATCTTTCAAGTAAACCTGAACCTGATCCAACGCTAAGAACTAGATCAGATGAGTCTTTGGAAAATATGTTTTTTAATGCCGAGATAAGAGGCGTCGAAAGCGAGACACAGCATGTCGGTAAGCATGTCGGAACGGATGTGAGTGGCGGAAGTTGAACACGATTAGTGAAGTAGTCATATCGCTGGATGATATTCATCGTTGGTTGTCAATCGCGATCAGGAACTCAAGACAAAACCCAGCGCACACAATCTTTAAACATGAAGTGGTTCAGATTCAATTCTAGTCTGTCGAAAATGTACGAAACGGCAAATATATGCAAGACCCGTGGGCCGTGGGTCGACCGAGCTTTCGGATCCGGTCACCGGTACTCCCTCAAATCGGGGTTCACAGACAGATGTCAAATTCCATGGCAGGTCTCGATTTTCACTCCAGATTCGCGTTGAACAAAAAAAGATCAAACCATTGTTGTACATTCAAAAGATATCATTTCGAATCAATTCCTTCAAGTTCTTAATCCATCACTCTTCTCTCTCCTTCCTATACATTGTACATCTATCAATTCTGAAAATCTTCTTTCTTGCCCATCCATGCAAACATATAATATCAGAGAAAATAAAAAGAAGGATTAAAATACAAACTAACATAAAAAATCTTATTACAAATTCTCAAACAAATTTTATTTATTTATTGTATATATAAAAAACTTTAAAATCATCCTCTTAGATAGATCACAAAATTCAAAATTCAAACCTCAAAACCACAACTTGCCTTTGCAACTTCTTTAAATAATATAAAAAAAAAGAATGAATCTAAAAAAGAACACTAAACAGAATCCTTTCAATCTTTAATATTATATATATAGATATAGATATAGATATATATCGTGTTTAAATTTGTTTTTTAGTTTGTCTTGCACCAAATCCTAATCTTTTCATCACATCTAAAACATCTTTTTTTCCTACTGGTTTACCTAACAAAGCAGCAAATAAAGTTCCTTCTGAATCTGATGGTGCAATTATATAACTTTCAAATGAAGTGACTGCTACGATTGGTGTATGAGCATTAACGTTTTGTGTAGATTTGATCATTCTTGCTGCATCTTGTCCTTCAACTGAGATTCATATCAAAAAAATCTCATTAGAAATTAAGCTTTCAAACAGGTTTTTATAGAAAAGGCTTAACTGATTGGCATCATGAGATCCATAAAGATCACATCAAATGCAACATCTCCCATTGCACAACTGATTGCTTCAGCTCCGTTAGGTACCACCACACATCGACATCCAAATCGAGTCAATATTGTTTCCAAGACCTTTTTTTCAATCACACTTTCTCATCAGTCACGGATAATGGTCCAAAATCTCGAAATTGATTTCTTACCTTTGAGCTAATCGGATTATCTTCAGCAATCAGACAATCCACTGTGCGTTCTTGTAATTTCGGTGGCGAAGCAATGGGTGGCAATAAAGGTTTGAAAGTTTGACCAGGTGAGCTCATCGTCGAGCCAGGATTATGAGAAGCTTGAACAGGTGGTGGCTGTTGAGGCTGTACAGTGGGTCGTACAGTAGGTACAATGGGTCGTTGAACAGCTGTTCCTTTACCTCCAGCTTGTGTACTACCTGAGAATGAAGCTCTTCTGATTCGAGAAGGCAGACTGTTTCTTCGACTAGGATCATCAGATATTTCATCAGGGATGAATGAATTAAAATGCTCTGATGGACGTCGACCATGTGAGAACCCAGCATTTTGACCTGATGAAGGTCCGGCTGCCAGTTTCGCAGCTGAGGATAAGGCAGAGGATGATGTCGAATCTGTCGGTGAAGAAGGGCCAGCTCCACCCATATTGCCATGAACACCGATACTAGCCTATCGGAGGGACAAATGTCAGAAAATAGCTTGTCATTCTTTCAAGTTCAACTGAGATATTACGTACTCTTCCGCTCAATGATAAGTGTCGGGGGTGACGAGCTCGATCAGCATGAGTGACGGTGGCCTGATCGCCTCTCAGTTTACGAATGACTTCCTCATTCGCTCGTTCAAGTACCGGTAGGTTTTTGAAATTGAATGTCCCAAAGTCGTCCGATCCTCTCCCACTACGTGCAGTAACTTCGAGAGGCTTTTTGGTATCTCCTTGGGTAATCGATTGTAGGGTGATGCCTTCTCCTGGTGTTTTCTCATCTTCAGCACCTTCACCTGTTTGACCTGTTTCTTCATCGTCATGAAATACTTGAGTAGCTCCACGTGGATCAAAATAATCGGTCGACTCAGGATCTGTTACTGATGGAACAAAACTAGCTTCATTTTTGAATAGATTTGCCCAATCAATTTCAGCTAAGAATGGATGAGCCTTGACTTCACTGGCTCCATTGGCTCCTAATCTTGCTTTTGGGTCTGTACACATCAATCGATCCATAAAATCAATCGCTTGTGGAGATATATCATCATCTGCTTCTGGGAACTCTAATCGACGTGACAAGATCCTATCAAAAACTTTATCCGGTGTCGAATCATGGAAAGGAGGAATACCGTAAAGGAATCTAGAAATAGAGAAGGCCAGAACAAGATTTGTAAGCTTGGACGAATTTTAAAAATTAAATCTAAGACTTACTCATAACAAACGACACCTAGAGCCCACTACAGGATTCGAATAAGATCCCACGCAACCAAAAAAACAATTTGTGATCAATACATTACTCACACATTGGTGCACATCAGTGGAGGTTTGAGGCTTACCCAATCAACCATTTCGTCCATACCGATACCCAATATACTCTCAGGAGCCAAATAATCAGGCGTCCCCACGAAATTTTTGTGTTCAAGATCCGATTTTACTTGTTGACTACTACCACCACCACCAGCACTCGATTTACCCATCGCAGACTGTGATGCGTTTGTCTTTGGATAATGAAATTTACGATGCGCATCTGAATCTTTTGAAGTATCACTAGGAGTATTGGTATCTTGTTCAGCTTGACGGGTAAGGAAATAAGACGAATGAAGTGCCATCGGTGATGTATCCGGACTTGAATAAGCTGTTGAACTAAGTGTGTCGAGTCCAGGTGGTAAACCTCGACGACGCAGATTGCTACTGTCCCTTAAACTAGTCGATAAGCTAATACCCGATCGCGGTTCAGCTGCTTGTCGTCCTAACAATCCAATCTTCGATAATCCGAAATCGGTAAGTTTCAAGTGCCCACGATGATCAATGAGCAAATTATCTGGCTTCAAATCACTAAAGACACAAACAAGTCAAGATCACTTCTCAATTCTCTTGTCACTATAATAAAAAAGAAAATCTTACCGGTGTACAACCCCAGTGGAATGCAAGTATTCTAATCCCATAACGACCTCAGCTACATAATTCCTAGTCCATTCCTCTGGAAGGTTACCTAAAGCTTTTACCAAAGCAGCACAATCTCCACCATTAAGGTATTCCATTACTAAATATAAATGATCTCTAGATGAAAATGTATAAAATAATTTCACCACAAAATCTGAATCAGCTTGATTCATCAAAATCTTTCGTTCAGATTTCACATTCATAATTTGATTTTTGGCAATCATATCTTGTTTCTTTAAAATCTTAATCGCATAATAATCTCCTGTTGTCTTTTTCTTTGCTAACCATACTTGCCCAAAAGCTCCTTTACTGATCGGTTTCAACATATCGAAATCTTTGATTGAAGCTGCTGATTTTGATTTTCCTGGTACAGCTGAAGGAATCCTTGGTGAGAGTGGCGTATTGAGTGGTCCACTGGAAGCATCAGTCTTTTGTTGATTTGAACCTCTTCGACTTACACTGCTACTTGGAATATGAGTAAAGCGAGGTGATCGAGGTGGTGTTCCAGTACCGGGAGCAGAATTATTATACCCACTCACGTCACCGGTTTTCAAATGAAGTGGAGCTGCTCGAGGAACAACCCGAAGGGAAGATTCTGGCATGATGGATTGTATAGAAGTACTTTTTCTCGGTCCTGAGGCCGGCTTGGCTTGTCGATCATCATCGTTTTCAGGTTTTTGTGAAGCAGGCTGATGCCTAAAGGAATCTTCCGTCGAAATTGATGGTGACATGTCGCAAGCTTTACGTTTGGAATCTTTTAGACTGGCTTTTTGAGCCTTGACTTCCCACTCCATTCGAATCCGTTCGGCATAAAGAATGGTGTTCCTCATTCGGTTGACTGCATTTGATTTATCATGTGCAGCTTGCAGTACGTCTTGTGCCAAATGAATCAATCCTGGATCTTCTACTTTCTTAAAGGTCCAGTTCGTGATCTGCAGTAGTTTTTGCTCCGAGTTAGGTGATAGTAATTTGAGATGTTCAATGTTATCTTCCGTAATCTCCTCATTAGATGAAGGTGTAGAGATATCAAGTGCCATGTTCAATAACTCTTCAATCTCATCTAATAACACCTTTTGAGTCGCTCTGAGGGAATTATGATGAATCAGTGCCACATTCGTAGATCGACCTGGATTCAATGGACTGAGATTTGATGCCTGTGAGGATAAATGGGTCAATAGGGGAACTCCGTCATAGACAACTTCGTTGGTCAGTCCTCTTTCGATTCCGATCCTCAAGTCTTTGATGGTATCCTTCAAATCCGACAATCGTTCATTACATTCGCTCACTTGCATCTCAAGTCGATGAGTCTCTGCACAAGTCTCATTATGACGTTCAAAGTAATAAGTGGGTAACCAATGTTCGCAGATCCGACACAGTAAAGGTTCGGTGGACAATGGTGCTGGTTCGAGAATAGGAGCGCCCGGGTCACTCTGAGATCGAGAATGATGCTGTCCTTTGGTCTCGATCACAGCTCCGGTTTTTTGATCGACAGTTTGTCGTGGGTTGAGACGGATGACCCACATTGAATGTAGTGCTTCACCTGTGATCCGATCCATCATTAACATCCCTTTACCCGTCATTGGCATGAAATGATCGCGAGTCTTCACACCACTTTCCTCTTCGTCATCACTATTCTCGAGTGTGATCCTAACGGTGAATTGCAGCTCGATTGTATTTCCAACATCCTCCAGCAATTTACGATTTGCCTCGCTGAATAGTTCATAATTCCCATCAATCAATTCGCCAAACGGTGCACCCACCACGGACTGTGGATCAAGTCTAGTGTTGAAAGACATATCAGAATCAGATTGTTATACTCATAGACCAATGGAGAACAAAATGACTACATACCCCGTGACTTTCGTCCAACCTGGACTCAGATATAAGATAGTAGCATCAGCGATAGCAACTTCAGCCAAGATAGTCTCCGTGCGAGCAAGATCAATTGCTGTCTTGAAATCTTGATTCAAGTTTTTCTTATTGACCGTGGTATTATTATTGTCCTTGACTTTGTGCCGAAGATGAAGAGGTGAGTTCGGTGCAGTTTTCGAACTAGCATGTACAGGTGACTCAGTTCGCTTCTTTTCGTCCTCGTTCAAAACCAAAACGATATCCATCGAATCGTTGTTCGGTGCATTCAACAAGCCTTCTCTTGTAATAGATGCTGTTGGTTCGATTGTCACTGGCTGTTCTCCTCCAGCCTTGGTTGCAAAAAATTCGATTTCTTCTGCATCATCTTCGTCTTCGGGCTCAAAATTCCAAAACCCTTTTTCTGCATCCCACCATTCTAAAACTCGACTCAATCCAGCGACAGCCAACAAAACTCGGACTATGTCCCACAAAAGAAAAGTCAGTTTCAGGAAGGAAAAATGGGAGGTTCGTTCATACAAAACTACTTACCATACCAACCACGATGTGGCCAATCTAGGTTCACATCCCAGCTTCTTCCAATCTGTTGAACTCGGTAGATAACCTCGACGCAAGCATGCGACTTCGATGTCAATGCACCAACGGGGGTATCTAACATCTCAGTAGCAATCGAACTAATCTCTTGTAAATTAGCTACAAAAGTGGAACTATAGAACAGCTCATCACTAGCTACCACAGGTCCGGATGATCTTGCCATTTCTTGATCGGGATTGCTTTGGTCTTGTTGAAATAACGGTGAATGTCTTCTGACTGATGCCACATGCGTTGGCAATGGCGATCTAGACCGTGATGGAGACCTAGAGCTACGTCCGCTACGTCCAACTGATTCCGAATACTGTGTTGAAACACTTACACTACGACTTCCACCTGCACCTGCACGCATAGGTGATTCCAAACCTCTACCGATACAACTTGAACCACCTGCGACTGCTCCACCTCTTCTCAAAACCACCGATGGCCGACGTAACGCTCCACGAGCAGTCATATTGGATGTGGGGGGACCAGTTGGCATTGGGCGTCCGCGACCTGATCCTCTTCTACTAACGGGAGCTGATGTCGCGGCAGACGAAGTCTCAGACGTGTCAGAATTATGGGTCGAGATCGACCTTTGATGAAGTGGGATAGAGATGTTGGATGGTTGATGAAGTAGATCAGATGGAATTGACAGTGTTCGGTTCAAGCTTTGAGACGGTGACGTAGTCGGCGTAGTGCTGAACCGTGAGATACGTTCATCGCCTCCTGTGGGATTGAGATTCAAATTCACCTGTGAGCCTGTATCGGACTCAGTTTCATTTGGAGCTACGTCGGAACCGACTCCAGGCTCTAGTGTTGTTGGTGATGGGTACCATGAATTAGATCCTGCAGCTCCCTGTAAAGCTGCCGAGCTAAGGGCCAATTCAAGTTGTATACGATCTTGCTCTCTTAATCCGCGAGCCTCAGTTTCAACAAAGCTAGTGATTTCGTCAACAATCACCTTGAGTGCCGTATCGCAGGCTGTCTTAGCCGTCGCCAATCGATGTCGAATATGTTCCCGGATAGTATGCATTGAGAATGTAGGCGTCTGAATATCTTGCGTCGCACTACTCATACCACTCTGACTTGCGTTATGATGCGGATGAGTACGGTGACCAAAAGAAGATGGATAACGTGATTGTCGGGTTTGGGTCCGAATACCAGTATCAGATTCAATATTTGAGGTGGATTTAGGGACTGCTGATGGGATCAATGAACGAGGGCCAATTGTCCCGACTGCACTTGCTGGGCCACCACCGGGCACGTCAGGCGAACTGTTACCGACTTCCATCACATTACTAACGGAGGTACTATTGGACTTGAATGGATTTCCGAGCACCAGGCCTGGTGTTTGTTCCCAGAGACGACTACCAGTAGGACTTAAGATAGGGGTAAGTTCTGGCTTTTGAAGGGCAGCCAAGAATCCCAAGTCGTGAGCTCTTTGATGTTCGGCTGACAGTGGTTGTGAATGTGTGATAGCTGGACTTGAGACCACGGCCCTCCCAGGTGCCTCTTCCCCAGGTTTCAAAAAACTTGACACGGTCGATTCAGGGTTCGAACTGACTTTAGGATCAGCTTTGCGCTGATCACTTTCACTCATCTGATTGAACACATTTGAGGCTCGAGAACATGTCAAGGGATCTAGGTTAAGCGTGAGATTAGGATTCCGTCGACGTTCAGGAGGCCCCTTAGAGCCTTCACTACTATGCGACGAACCGCTATGAGCAGAAGAAGTTCGATCTCGAACAGTAAGTCTTGGTATGGGAGCCAAGGCGCCCGTTGGAACGATAATCGATGGCTCTTCAGCTTGCCTAGATTGAAGAGGCTGGTGTGTAGTAGGCGCAAGGTAGGGGGTAGTGATAGTGGGCTGATTGAACACAGTCGGCTGCGTTGGTTTGGTATTTGTCAACAGATCGACCGCAGATGCGACCGAGCGAAGTCCAGAGGATAACTTATTGGTGTTTCGATTTTTCTCATATGTCGTCAATGGACTCGCACTCACTCGCCGGATTCCCTTGAGTTTCGGAAATGGTTGTGAAGCAAGATTACTCCTATAATTCGAGCTGGTATCACTACTAGAAGATTGTTTGTCATCCGAATTCAGGGTAAAACTAGATCGGACAGCATTCCACCATTCATCAATCTTTTTTCCGAGATTGAAATTTTTCTTGATCTTGGTTCCGCTAGGTGAAAATGTATCTACGAGTCGAGGCGTGCTAGTAGAAGGCCCTTGGTGAGAAAGTGGAAGATCCGACTGAGGTGTAGGGTGAGGTTTCCCAGATGATGGTCGTAAGGAACTTGGCATGGAGCTGGATACTTTCTGATCAGCTAAGCTGAGGTTGTTGGTCTTCGTGCTCCTTCCGATGATAGACGACACGCTTAGCCTTCGTAATCGAAGACCGTCAAACATAGCGGGAGGCGAGGGCGGAACCGGATAGTCAGGTTCCGAGGCTGGCACACCTATTATATCTGCCCTGTTATAATGATCCTCCGATGCGGATGGATTCTGAGAGTCACCAACTATGAAGAAGTAAAACATGCAGTTAGTTAATCTTCAGTTAGCCACCTCCTAGAGAAAGTACAAAAAACTGACAAGCTCTTTCGGGACCGTCAGAGGCATCTAAAACTCCTTCAGTGACAGGAATTGATTCCAACTTGGATTCATCATTCATACTAAGTTCCTCGACTTCTTCAACCTCCTCCATGTCATTCTTCTCTGCTGTATTCATCTGAGCTTCCTTTTCAGCACGTAACTTGGCTTCTTTCATCCTTCGATAATCGTCGAGCCAATCAACCCATTCAATCTCCTTGAACTGACCAGGCTCATTCACATCACCACTTAGGTCGCGCGGACTGAATCCTGAATGAGGATCAAGAAGCTCATTCGGGTCCACAGAGGTCGACAGAGCCAGTTCTTCACCAAGTCGATTGGTTGTCCCAATCGTCTTGGTTGATGATGATCTTTTTAAAGCATTCGGCCTTTCATAATGCTCTTCTTGTTGATCCAGGAACCCAGATGATCTTCCTTCGGGTGATGCAGAGAGTGGACCAAAGTCAGGAATACGTTTCCGTTCGGGCAATAGTCCCGGTAGAGGACGTAAATATCTTGAATCAAACTCTCCGCTTTGTCCAGGGCGAGCAGTAAGAAAATTCGATTCCGACTCGTGTGATAGTCGTGCCTCAGATGATGATGATGGACCAATTTCAGGTGTAAGCTGTTGAAGAGCCGATTGTGAGCTTCGAGCAGGTAACGCCTGAAAAGTATCTGGGAACACTTTTTTGTGCATATGCTGTTGTTTCCATTTGTGAATCTTGGCCGTACGCGATTGAATGATGATCTTGGCGAAATCCTCCGTTGAAGGTCCTGGGCCTGAAGCGATCGATGTGCGGTGACTGCTGGCAAGACCTCCATGCCTGGAAGAAAGTGAGCTCGATCCATGTCGGACAGATCTCACCGGACAACCGTATGGATATGATGTGCCTGCGCCACCTAGTGAACGATGGGTGATGGATGACTTGGACTGATGTTTTCTATCAGCCTTGGTCCCAAGTGAGGGGTTAGAATACCCGCTCAGACCGGTACCAGTTCCAATTCCGCTCCCAGATCCACTTGCGGCGGCGCCAGAGAATGATGAGAGGCTCGGTTCATCACTATGATGACTACTACCTGTAGCTGTACCAGAAGGGAGATGACCGCCACTGGTAGTAACAGCTCCACCACGTGTCGGTGCTCGGCGAGAATATGGGCCTTCTTCACTAAACACGCTGAATACACTCGTCGACCTATCGCGTGATGCAAACTGATCGATTGGTTGACTGGGTGAAGAATGGGGAGTTCCAATGGCTTGAGCGGTGATCGGATGAGAAGTCGAAGGGCTCGATCCCGGCATAAAGAAAGGTGAAAAACTCGTACTCATCCTTCGACTGTCTTGACTGCTGCTATTACTAGCAGCATCAGCACCTGGTGGAGCCGTGGGCGATGGGAAATTGATCGGAGAGGCCAGAGATGGGACATTGCTCAGCATTCCCATGCTCAGTCTGGGCCCGCCTCCACTTCTTCCACTAATACTACTGCTTGACCAGCTGCTACCCGCTTCAGCTACACTTCCACTTGAAACACCAGTTGATTTGAGGCCTGGTATTAAATATCCACGCTGAGAACTTACCTCACTGGCCATCGAGCCTACTGGACTATTATCATTTAGCGGGTTCGGCATTTCAGAAGCCAATACTGAGCCAGCAATGGGGGGTGAGAATGCAGACGATAAAGAGGATGTGAAATTGTTGCTGCCACCAGGAATACCCACAGGAGCTGGGATGGATTTGGACGTCGTACTACTAAAGCCAGGTGTAGGAGAAAATGGATTCGAACTGGTAACGGGTGAACTCGTGACGCCCATGTGTACCGAGCTGGACAGTCGTAAATCTTGCGCAGTTCGAACGGATGTTGGCACCCGTTGTATTCTGATGGCCTCAATCGGTGGAAAGGGAGGAGCAGAGGTAGAGTTATTGGCTAGCGCGGCGGACAGAGCTGATTTGTTATGATACTGATAGTTGGGCTTGGTAGGAGAGGCAGCCGGACCAGAGGTCGAGGAGCTGGTGAATACCAAAGAGTGCCTGCGAGGCGGTGAGGACGATGAGGTACCTGTCGATTGATTGGCGCTGCTAGAAGCGATTGACGGCTGACGGCCATGCTGAGTAAGTTGATAGTGTGGCTGGTATGGTGATGCGGGGACGTGGGGATACGAACTGGGATGATTAGGGTTGGTGATATTTGAGGTACCCATAGTACTAGTGTTGACGGCTGAATAAGCGGCCTTGACGGATGAAGGCGTTGCGAGGGATGGTGATGAGTGATGATGAATAGGTCTAGAACCATGGCCTTTGGCAGTGGAGCCAGGAGAGGAAGTCGACGCGGCTCGAGAGGTGTGAGTGGGCTTGGATTGAGTGGCCTCACGTACATGAGGCGTGATTCTCTCGTGGACTGACCCTCGATGGATGTGAGAAATGCTGCCTTTCGAGCTTGGATCTGGGGGCACTGGTAGCACCGATGACGAGGCCGAAGCTGGAGCACTTACAGATGATGGGACGGAGTGAAGGTCAAGTGGCGAGATTTGTGCAAGGTTTGTACTCAGATGAGTACCAGCTGAGATAGGATTCAAGAGCGATTTGTGTCGGCTGATTGGAGAATCGGGAAGTAGCGGTGTAGTACTTGATAGTATGGGAGAAGAATGCAGGCCCAGCGCCGTGGAAGAGGGACCAGGAGAGATTATTCGATGCTTGCCCAGTTGAGGTGTAAGTGAGTCCGATCTGATTTCGGCATCCCGATGAGTAATTGACTCACTTCTTGATCGTTCGATCGATGTGTCGCTTGCAGATGTCGGACCAGGATCTTTCGATGAAGAGCACAAAAAGATGAGTCAGATAAAAATACAAGCTATTGGAAAATCCAAACGGAGCAGGTTAGTATCATACCTAGATGTGTGACATGCCTAAGAGGACTGCCCATCCGCACGTTCTCTTTCCTGGCCAGGGAGGGGCCTGTGCCGGACTTGTTGAGGCTATTTTTTCGATTTGAAGTGGCTTGATAGGGTTGCGATTGGGGATGGGTTGAGGTTTGTATGCTGTTAGAAACTCTTGACGTGTGCTCGGGATCCGAATCATCAGAGGTGCGACTTGCACTGCGACCAATTAGACTACTGGTGACGGTGCTATGTGTTTCCCGTGTGCTGCGCTCCAGCAGACCATAGCTCGAAGAATGATCCAGAACGTCTTCGTCTTCGAAATCTTTGAACTCTTGATCATCGTCGTCTTCCTCCTCGTCCTCCTCCTCCGACTGGACACTTGCTTCATCAATACTGCGAAGGGAGGCCGGTCCAGGCAACAGACGCTGAGGGCGCCTGTCGTCATCAGACGCCGCTTGTAACTTTGTCGGGTCGCTTTCAGTGACATGATCGTCCTGATCATCTGATCCGTCGTCATCATCAGCACCGCCCACTACAGGGCTTTTGGCCAACGGTGAGGAATAGAGCGGAGTTGTATTCATTCTCATGCTGAGAGCTGAGATTGTGGGATTAGGCATACAGCCAGAAACTAGCGTGGGTGAATGGCCAATCGATGTGGGAAGGCTAGCAGACCCTGAGGCGTGAGGCGGTGCTTCGACATTGCCTATTGAAAGATAAAGATAGTCAGAAACATATTTCGATCACTCGAGAGTATGAAGATGAAAAATCACTATGCTTACGACAGGTAGCCTCATAAGAGAGAAGAGCAGAAGGGGATGAAGTTGAGGAGGTAGATGAAGATAAAGATGAAGACCTTGTTAGATTTCCGCGTGAACACGTCGTAGCTGTGGTGACCGGCGCTGCAAGAGCAGACACCGAGGCAGGGGGAGGAACTGGCTTGAGAGTTGAGACCACGTGAGGAGAAGAAATTGTGAATGGTAAAGAGGTGTAATTAGGGCTATCGGTACTAGAACCAACTTCGATCGAATTTGGAGTTGGAATTAATGGAGTGGACAGATCGGTAGGCTGAGTCGGTAAGGTTGGTGATAAGTTGACTGTTGATGGTGGCGGCTCTACTACTTCTTTCGAATCACGATCAACGTTGGTAGGAAGGTTATCATGGTGACTATTTGAAGCACTGTTCGTTGAATCTGATTGACTTGATTCTAACTTGGGTTGTGAATCCATGTTCGTTCTGAGATATGGGTGTAAAATGATTCTCGATTGTCGATTTGCCAAATGATCTGAGTGGGTCTCGAATGAGCCAATCGTTTGATTTGATGAATGATCCTAATCGAATGATAGTTGATGAAGAATGATGATAACTTTGAACCAAGGCTGAACTGATTCTGAATGATAGAGTGAATTGCTTGCAGCCATTATGTCGAGGTGATGAGGAATGTTGTCTCCTTCAACTACTCTTCATCGACATCATCGTCTTCATCAATCCTTCCGCGTCTCGATCTCGTACTACTGAGTCCTGGTAAGTCACTTCTTTTCGGCCTTCTTCCTCTTCACCTTCGAAGTCTTTTTGTCCAATCGAAGTGAGTTATTTGACCTCTCGGCTGGTTTGCAACCTTTTAATTTCTCATCGACACCCAAAATAACTCATATGTGATTGTCGAAACCTTAAAAATTCAACTACCCAGCATAAACCTTGTCAAAATGTGTCTCTTGAGTCTTTATAAAGCCCCGGCCCCGGAAAAACAAAGCCCTGTGGCTGTGTAATCACTCTCAGCGTCCCGAATGATTGCAGAGCAGTCTGATAGAGTCTGATGGTATGACTTTCAAAACTGGGAAAGAACTTTTACCATGGGTGAACTATTGAGATAAGGTGATAATTTCTGCTAGCCACTCATCCTGACCTCCAATGTGATTGAGTGAGAATGACTAATTTGGTTGAAAGGTTGAAACTTGCAATCTTCTCAATGCAACAAGATAGTCATACCAATAGTTCTGAGTTGATTGAACACAAACTTATCAATTTATGAAGAAGATGTATCTTTTTCCTCATGAGATGCATTCCAATCATATACTTTTCCAAACTTCTATCAACCAAAGCTCATGGCCATAACATAGTAAGGGAGTGGTGATCAATTACAGCTCTGAGCTAGTCCTAGATACTATATAGCTTGCTTTATTTTTGAAAGAAAATGTGAGACCACTTGGCTTTGTTGCGACAATTTCACTGAAAACCCAGATCAAGCCGGCACAATATAGTTCTTCAAATCCCTGGTTTACATAGCAGCAGCACCAACTCCGCCATAGGAGCACTCACATGTCAGTATTAGATCCACAGTCATGAGGTCATTTACCCTTTTCCCTCCCAAAACCCAATTTCTTGACTCTCAGCTTGGGATCCACTCTTCAGATCAATGAACAACTTGACATTTTATCCTTCCAGAAGTTTACCCAAGGGAAAACCCTATCCAAAAACCTCTTTTCCTTCATTTTCCTACATTGTGCTCAATTTATTTCATTCAAAATTCATCACAATGAAAAATGGGTTGTGCATCATCATGCCGCTTCCTCCACTCCTGAAGATTTTTCTTTGACATTCATGGAATCAAAAATGGTCAACTGGACCAGACAAGCTGATATCCCAGCACTTTCCTTGGTTAACAGCCTTCAAAACCAGTGGAACAAGTCTAGATCTGAAATCCAAGATCATAACCCAGGACAGTTTTACTGGACTCTGTTGACGCCAATGAATCCATTGACTCCAGTGACCCAATTGACCCCAAGCAATCCATGTTGTAAGTCACATTTCTTATGAGGACTCAGAGTATGTGTCTGTTTGGTGTACTCTTCACTGAGAGTAGTGTAGAAAAGTAATGGTGTGGTCTTCACCTTGTACACCCAAGTGAAGACTGCGGCTACTTGACCTCTCAGAAGAGGGTTTGAGGAAAGGAAGGAAGGAAGGTAAAGGGCAGTAAAGAACTCACTGTGTCTGCCAGATGAGTTCTCAATGTTGAGATCATAATGTACTACAAAGGGGCCCCTTTTTAGTGGGTCATGTTCTCAACGTCAAAACCATCTCTGGTGGATGTGATGGCTATTGTGCTTTAAACTTGTGAGACTGCAAGAGGCAGCCTTCACAATTTTGTTATGGTCTGCTTCTGGGGGCCATGGCTTGGGGGACAGAGGGTGGAAGGGTGCTGTTGAGTATATATGATTATTGTAGCATAGAGAAGAAAGAAGAGTAGGAGGATGTCTGGTACAATTGAGGTTCTGGGTATGTACCTGCACCGCCAACAAAGATACCTTGGATTAGAGACTCCAAGGTATCCTCAGATGGCTATAGCCTTGGACACAATGTCTAAGCAAATGATCCAAGGCAATCTTTGAGGGCAAAGACAGCCTTGGATAAATTCCTTGGACACGCAGTCCAAGGGAATGTATACCCAAGGATACCTTGGATTTTACAATCTGAGGTATCTTTTCCGGCAGTGCTGTCACAGGTTTTGACAGTCTAGTGATCTGTGAATAGGAGCATAACACTATCCCCCCTTTACCCCTGGGCTCCCTGTTGGGGCCTGCGTCTCCCCAGGGCTGGTATTAAGAGCATCCACAACGGTCCACCTACTTTGCGAGCCCTGGAACAGACCCCCGATCCTGATTTTGTGGATGTAGGGGGTCAAAAAAACAGGTGTCCACAGCGGTGCACTTGAAGTCAGGGGCCAGAACTCGATTGAGTGATATGGTATGCTTGTACCATATCATCTTGTTTCGAGTGCGGTTTGAGACATGACTATATCGGTCACGTGGAAGCAGTGGCACGTGATATTGGGAGCCCCTATAGACCTCGCAGATGTGGGGGGTCCGGATGGAAATCTGGAGGCCCCCGACGTCTCACCCCCGATTGTGCGAGCTCCGTTGGAGCGTTTTTTTGCGTTTTGACCCCCTACATCGCTGGGGGCCCGCAAAGTAGGTGGACCGTTGTGGATGCTCTAAAGAGCCCGGTGGGAAACAACCTGACCCATCATTTCATTTTCCTTTTTCTTTGGTGATCTTCTGACACCTTTGGAAACCTTGAATTAAACTTGTCAATCATTTCTTTTGCGTTTATGACGTTTCCGTCCAGCAACACCTGAATTGTGCCGCTTTGATCCGCTTTCTGGCGGGTTTTTTTTGCAGCAGAACGGTTTTCAGCTTCATAGGAAACCCGCTATCAATCCACTGTAAAAAAAGGCCTGCTACAAGTGTTGTGTAGCACAGCGGCACTTGGAGCTGCTCTTGCTCTGCTATGTCAAGTGTTGAACAGAGGAAGCGGGCTGAGGTAACGGTTATTATTCACAATTATTTTTAATATTCACAATGCAAGGTAAGTATATGTACAAGTTTGATCAAAGAGAAAAAATCAATCACAGACTAAACAGTATATGCACAAGTGACTTGCAATATTAAAATATGATGAAACAGTAAGAAACAAGATCAAAGATACCAAAGAGTATATGAACAAGTGACTTAAAATCTCAAGAGACAATAGAACAGTAACAAACCAGAGCAAAGTTGAAAAAGCTTTATAGCATGATTTGGATGACTGTGTGCTACAAACCACAATAATCAATGAGAAATCAAAGAGAAGAAGAAGAAAATGAAATAGGAGAGGCCAAGCCACAAAACCTAACAAACACAGGATAATACCAAACCAAAGGGATAATAAGCAACAAGAAGATCAAAGAAGATGAGACAAGAAAAGATTCAAGGAAGAGGGCATGAAATCAAAAACAACATTAGAAAAAAGGAGCACATTTGAATAGACTTCATTTGTGTATGGCTTTCAAATGAGGCAAGATACATAAGGGAGTCAAAGAATTTTTGTTTATTGTCAGTCATGATACCAGCTTTGAGCCATTATCTACATCCAACTGTGCAAGAGATTGTCTTTGGTTCTAACAAACCTTGTCCAGGAATCAAGGAGAAAGTCTGTTCTGAAGCACACAAGGTAGCCAAGATTGAGAGGTAGTTGTGTGCCAAGGAGGCAAGAACCTTGAAATTGGATTCATTTTGTAAAATAAAAGTGTAATTAGTCAGACAATCAATCAGATGGGAGTGAATGGAATTTGAAACAAAACTTACATTCCACCCAGAAAATTCTGATTGGCCAGGCACACTCAGGTTGCTACCTTGTATGACTCAAGTTCAGAAGCCCTGATTGATTTGGGAGTCTGAATTATCACAAATGAGGTGAACAAGTCAAATTGATCAAAACCTTCATCTGGATCGGCAGTAGGAGTGGGAGATAGGGTGCAGGCCGGGGTTTCTGGCCAATTTTCCAGAGAAGTCTTTCAGACTCCTTCAATTAGTCTCTTAGCTCATCCAGCATGATCTGATTAGTGCAGTTCAATGAAGCATACTTGATATTTAGGGTTGAGAACAGTGCCCAAGATCACCTCATCAGAAGCCAAAGTGTTGTCCTGGTAAACGGTGAGCTGGCTTAACATGACTGCAACCATGTGCGAGGCTTGATGGCATAGTTTTAGTACGTAGTTCAGTGAGAGACTATTTCACTCTGAGATATTCAGAAAGCAACATTGAGCTGGAGATGGTGTTGCCTTCCATGCGCTTGGTTGAAAGCCACAAGACCTAAGACCCAAAGTTAAAAGACAATCCAAGAGATTATGATACAAGAAAAGAAAAAATGTGTTTACCTCCAAGACCTGTCATAAAGATTCAACAGTGTCCCACTTGTCCATCAAAGTCATGATGCCATTGTAGTGTTGAGTTTTCAGATTGCCAATAAGGATTGAATCAAAGACCTAAAACAACTTGGCATAATTGGCAAGTCTATAAACTTGAGAACTGAGCTGATTGAATGAATACCAAATATGGCTTACATTGTGTGCAGCCACAAGGTGGGGATACATTGGCAGATTAATCTTCCGCCAAACACCCCACCCAGAAATTAGACCTGGTCTGCAATATCCCATCTTATCAGCACACACATGGAACTTGCCTTGCCTGGTGTTGCTCCAGGGAAGCAAGGCATTGAAATCCTTCAACTATGAATTGAATGTGAGAAGAAAAAGTCAAAGAGGTGAAACAGAACCTTACCTTCATTGTGCCTTTGACAACAATGCAAGCATCAATTAAAATATCTTCATATGATAGACCATCATCAATGTCATCCTCATGAGTTCAGTTCTCTGTGTTGCAATGAGGTTGTGCATTGAGGATACTGTGCT